TTCATTCTTAGCAGCACTCTCTTTTATTCACTCACTCACTCACTCACTCAATCACTCATTCATTCATTCACTCCCCAACCAACCAGCCAACCTAATTCAATGCACTTTCTCAGTTCGACGAGGCTGTGGAAGGACATGGAGCTGACGTGGGGCTTACCCCACTTCTTGGCATCCTCCTCCACATCCTCCTCGTACTTGATCCACCTCGCCCTCTCCCTCCACTCCCACTCGTCGTTATCCCCCTGGTGCAACTCGTCCAGTTCAACGAACATCTTGGGGGTAATTATTATTGCTGTTGTTCTTGTTTTTATTGTTATTTTGATTAACATCATCATCGTCGTCGTCATCGTCGTCGCCATCGTAATCATCACCATCACCACCCTCATCCCGACCCTCCTCATCATCGCCGTCATCATCATCATCACCTCGTGATGGACAACAGAATCCTCCTCGGGAATGGCCTCGAAACCATAATCATCTTGCTGATGAGGAACATAACGACGATGATGATGCTGCTGCTGCTGCTGATGATCACAATCATGCTCCTTGATGACCACGTCCAGCAATCTCTTGTCCATCTTTCTACTGCTACCTGCGTCTTTGGTGCCTAGTTAAGACGGTGATGATGACGACGATGATGCTGATGGTGGTAATGATGACGATGATGATGATGACGACGATGATGAAGATGAGTAGTAGTAGTAGTAGTAGTAGTAGCAGCAGCAGCAGTAGTAGTAGTAACGACGACAATGATAATTGTGATGATGATGATGATGAAGAATATGATGATGATAATGATGATGATGACGATGATGATAGCAGTAGCAGTAAAGTTACTTGAGGCTGACGACGACGACGATGCTGTGAAAGACTTCTTATCGATCTTCCGATGCCTCAGGCCCTTCTGGTTGCAGAACCTGTGACCTGGCGACAAGATGACGCGAAACAATAATGACGTATAGGATGACGTCAGTGTAGTCGTGACGTCATCTCTGTGTATCATCATTCATTCACTCATTCGTTCGTTTGTTAGTTCGTTCATTCGTTCGTTCGTTCGTTCATTCATTCATTCAAGTCATTCACCTATTTATGATCCATGAGGGGTTTTTCAATATTCATTCATTTACTTATTAATTCGTTCTTTCATTCGATCGTTTTTTTCCCAACAACAAGTCTACCAATCTGACAAGTCGTTCATTTTTTAGCTCATATCTTCCTTCAATCAATCAAATAACTAACCAGCCAATCACCTAAGACCAGCCAGCCAACCAGCCAATCAACCAACCAACCAACCAATACACCTAATGTAACCAATCAGCCAACTAGCCAGCCAGCCAACCAACCAACCAATCAGCCAGCCAACCAACCAATCAGTCAACTAGCCAGCCAGCCAGCCAACCAATCAACCAGCCAACCAACCAATCAGCCAACCAACCAACCAATCAGCCAGCCAACCAACCAATCAGCCAACTAGCCAGCCAGCCAGCCAGCCAACCACCAACCAATCAGCTAGCCTACCAACCAATCAGTCAACCAGCCAGCCAGCCAGCCAGCCAACCAACTCATCAATCAATGAACCAACTAACTGGCCATAACATTGAGATGTCTGATGTTTTCCTCAGTCAGATCATCAGCCCCTTCGGCCGGGGTAGAGTAGCTCCTAAAATGTTTCTGGCCCTCCAGGTAGACATCACTGCCGAACACACGACTGCCAGATTTGTATCTGCTACCATACCTTTCAAAAGAAGATTGGTAGTATTTCCGGTGATATTTGTGTGTGTGTGTGTGTTTGTGTGTGTGTTGTTTGAGTATGTGTGTGTTTGTGTGTTGTTTGTGTTTGTGTATGTGTGCTTGCGTGTTGTTTGTGTTTGTGTGTGTGGGTTGTTTGTGTGTGTAGCGTTTATGTTAATTTATAAAATGTTTCGGTTAGTTTTGTAGGTATTTATTATGTTAATTCGCGCGCCCCTTAAGAGGGTTCATGAATTTTAATGAGTGCTTCTTTACGTTAATGACAGAAGTGTATTAATGGTAATTAATAGTCATTATAACGACACACACACACACATACACACACACACACATATAAACACAAACAAACACACACATACACACACACACACACACATACTGCATATAATACGCTAATACGCGAGAACCTGCTTGAATTGAATTTGAACCCGGTCAGACAGAGCAGCGCAGGACAACCAAGCAGACGCTTTTAATCATCGCGCCATCTCGTCGCTATTGCCGTCATTAAAAAGGTCAAAAGGACAATTACACTCTTCCAAAGTTCAGAGGTCATTATACACACTACACCGTACTGTCACAACCATTTTAACCAATAAACCAAAAACAAATAATAATAATAATAAATAAATAAATAAATGAATAAAAAAATACTAATAAAAAAACGAAATGAATGATAGACACAAAACCTCGACGGTTTAACCAGTTTATGAGACGAGCGATTGTTGGAAGTTTGTGGCGGAGGCAATGATGATGATGCCGGCTCCGTCATCTCTATGTCATCGGCACCTTGATGAACGAGTGAGCGAGTGAGTGAGTGAGTGAGTGAGTGAGTGAGTGAGTGAGTAAGTTGTGAGTGAATAAATGAGTTAATAAATGAGTGAATAAATGAGTGAGTGAGTGTGTGTGAGTTAGTGTGTGAGTGAGTGAGTGAGTAAAAAAATGAGTGAGTGAATGAGTGAGTGAGTAAAAGAATGAGTGAGTGAATGAGTGAGTGAATTCTTAACATCCATTTAATACTTATCCATTACATGTATTATTATCATTATTATTAATTATATAATGTTCATACTTATTTAATAACTTCTCGCTTGTAGATAGAGTCGATTAATCAGGTGATAAATTATGTTAATTAATTAATTAATTAATTAATTAATGCTAATTAGGCAGATTACAAGCAGTAACGATGCAGTAGATCGTAGTTTAGTAACTATTGCTACTGCAAACCAAATAAATCTTCGATTTTTCCATGTCTCTTTAATCTTTCGTCTTACATACTTTTTCTTCTTCCTTCTTAAAATTTAAAATTCTTAAAATAAAATTCAATAATAACTTTGTTATTATTGAATGTTTCTTATTAATATTGTTGAATCTTTCTTAGCAACGATCTAGTTGTTTCCATATTTCTCAGTATGTTAATATTTGACATTTATTATTTTTAAATTCGTTAATTAGATTTCATTCTCGCCTGAACAATTTTTAATTTTGTTGATGTTTTAGCCACCTTACAAGCTCCGTATACGGGCTTCTGGTTTACTTAATAAATGGTTTTAATGGTTTAATTGTTAAGTTAAATGATAATGTAGCTACATCAACCTAAAATGAAGGCCACTTTCGCAGAAGAGCCACTCTTGCCGCCGCGATCGCCGCTACCACCACTTCCGTGGTCGCCCCCATAATCGCCACTCGACCTCCTCAACGAACTCACGCTGGCAGGCTGGGTAGATGCCGAAATGGTGGTAGAACTCTTCAAGGCACTTTTTATGCTCTGGTCTAAATTTGATTTCATTGTTTTTTCATTTATTCGTTTATCTGTTTATTCAATCAATCAATCAATCATTCAATTAATCAATCAATCAATCATTTATTCACTCATTTATTTATTCATTCATTCATTCATTCATCCATTCATTTTCCACTCATACTTCCTTTCCTTCATTAAATCAGCCACTAATCCTTCCATTCAATCACTCATTAATTTTTACAGTTCGCACATTTAACAACATAGCCATCTAGTTCACCATCAACATTCATCATCATCGTCATCATCATCATCGTGTAATTATCATCATAATCGTGTAAACATCATCATCATCTTCTTCATCATCATTATTATCATTATCATCGTATTTTTCTTCTTCTTCAGCATCATCAACAACATCAGCATAAACAATATGACAATCTACATCATCATCATCGTCTTCATCGTCATCATCACGACTAACCCGACTTGACATTATACCGCACGGTAGATGATAATGGCGAAGATGAAGACGGTGATGATATCAATGATGACGATGATGGTGGTTGTTGATGTTGTTGTTGTTGCTGCTGTTGTTGTTGTTGCTGCTGCTGCTGTTGTTGTTGTTGATGTTGTTGTTGTTGTTGTTGTTGCTGCTGCTGTTTTTGTTGTTGTTGATGTTGTTGTTGCTGTTGTTGTTGCTGCTGTTGTTGTTGTTGTTGATGTTGTTGTTGTTGTTGTTGTTGAAGTTGTTGCTCTTGTTGATTAACATCTAGATGCGTTAAACTATCAGGTCCATATTGCTTGCTGCTAATCACAAAAATTATTTTAAGAGCCAGATGTAAAATAGTAATCGAAGCAGTAGTTGTCGTTGTAGTAACAGCAAAGTAGTAATTGTAGCAGCAGTAGTAGTAGTAGCAGAGTAGTAGTAGTAACAGCAAAGTAGTAGTAGTAGTAGCGGCAAAGTAGTAGTAGTAGCAGTAGTAGTAGTAGTAGTAGCAGCAATAGTAGTAGCATCAGTAGTAGTAGTAGTAGTAGTAGCAGCAGTAGTAGTAGCAGTAGTAGTAGTAGTAGTAGTAGTAGTAGTAGTAGTAGTAGTAGTAGTAGTAGTACTAGTAGCAGTAATCGTATTAGTAGTAGCACAGCAGTAATAGCAGCAGTAGTAGCAGCAGCAGCAGCAATAGTAGTAGCCACAGTTGAAGTAGCAGTATCAGTAGTAGTATCAGTCCGTAGAGAACAGTGACGATGAAAAACTTAGTTGACCATAACATGGAATAGTTAGAAGAAGCAGAAAGCGCCGGTCATAACTTTTGTAGTAGCGGTGGTTGCTTCAACAGCAGCAGCAGTAGTAGTAGCAGCAGTTGTAGTAGCAGCAGTTGTAGTAACAGCAGTAGTAGTAGCAGCAGTTGTAGTAGCAGCAGTTGTAGTAACAGCAGTAGTAGTAGCAGCAGCAGCAGAGTAAGTATTATAGACGATAGTAACAACGGTAAATATAGTAAAATCTGTAGTAAAATTAGTTGTTGCTAAGAATCAAATCAACAACAACAAAAATAAATTAATAACAATATAATAACAGTAATAATAATAATAAAACTACAACAACACAAACAACAATAATAATAATAACAAAATGACCAAACCTCAAGTTATCAGCAGTAATTGCGCCAGTATTGATGACGTCACCATCAGCATTATGACGTAGGAAGTCATATGATGATGATGATCGTCGTTCGGTTCGTTTGGGATGAAAAACTTTACGAAACTATTATCAGCCCCACCCTCCCTGACGTCATCATGATGATGATGATTGTGATTGTTAGTAATGTTGTTGCTAGCAGTTGTTGTGGTAGTGGTAGTTGTTGTGGTAGTAGCAGCAGCAGCTGCAGTATTGGCAACAGCAGAAGTAGTGTTGGTAGTAGTAGTAGTGGCAACAGTAGTTGTGGTAGTTGTAGTCGCTTGTGGTGTCGGCAGGTTGTGGTCGGATTTATTAGTGGCAGGTTTTTTGGCTTTGTCATGCCGTTCTGAGTGATTCTGGAATGTGATTATTTAACAAGTGTTTGCGAGTTTACGTGTGTGTGTGTGTGTGCGTGATTTGTGTTTGTTTGTTTGTATGTGTGCTCGTTTGCTTGTGTGTGTGCGTGTGCGTGCGTGCGCCAGTATACACACACACACACACAGTTGTTTACATCGAGTGCATCCATGTTTTAATACATTACGAAATTTCAAGCGACAACAACAACATCAACATCAAAAACAACAGCAAAACCACAATAATAACAATATTGTATATATATAACCTTGTGCATACATTTACGATTAAATCATCACCAACATCATCGTCATCACAACCGTCCTAATCATCATCAACACCGTCCGTACCAACACAATCATCATCATCATCATCTTAATAAACAACATCTTTATGAAGATCATCACAACGGTCCTCATTGCAATCATCATCATCACCACTATCACAGCCATCATCATCATCACTATGACCCTTATCATCACCATTGGAATCACCATCATTATCACCACCATCCCAGTCATCATCATCATCATCCCCACCATCACCGTCATCATCATCATCATCCCCACCATCCCAGTCATCATCATCATCCCCACCATCACCGTCATCATCATTACCATCCCCACCATCATCATCATCATCATCATCACAGTCATCACCATCGTCATCATCGTCGTCATCTGCTTTTGATGTCACAGCGTTCCTTTCATAATTGCTATTAAGCCAATCTGTCATTATTGACAGACTGTATGTATTAATTAAAAGAATGAATGAATGAATGAATGAATGAATGAATGGATGAATGAATGGATGGATGAATGAATGAATGGATGAATGAATGGATGAATGAATGAATGAATGGATGAATGGATGAATGAATGGATGAATGAATGAACGAATAAATGAATGAATAAATGAATGAATGAATGAATGAACGAATAAATGAATGAATAAATAAAAAATAGAAGAACAAATAAGCTAGTAAATAAAACAAATACACTAAACGAAAGAGTGAACTAACGAACAAATGAATAAACAAGAACAAACTAATGAATGAACAAGAACGAACGAATGAACGAACAAGAACGAACGAATGAAGAAACGAATAAATATAAAATGAATGAATGAATAAATAAATAAATAAATGAAAATATTTGAACAAACTTTAATCAATTTTCAAAACAGCAGAGAATTAAGACAGGCTAAGATGAATGTTAAAACGTTTAAAACAACTTTAAAGAAGAAGAAGAAGAAGAAAAAGAAAAAAAAAGAATCATAATAATAATAATTATCACTATTATTATGATTCTAATTATAGTATTAATAATTACATTAACAACAATTGCAAACCGTTTTCGGTTTTGAAAGTTTATGGTGATGTGATGATTTGTTCTTGCCGGCCCTTGAAGCTACCACCAATGGTGATAATGAAGACGACGGTGGCTGTGGTGGCGCTGGTGATGATAGTGATGGTGTTTGCGCTGCTGCTGCTGATGGTGATGATGATTGCGTCGGCGGTGATGATGATGGAGAATGGCCAAGGGGGTGCCAAGTTTGAGGGAAGAGATCGGATCTGTGGTGAGCTGTCAGTGGGTTGATTGTCGGTGTTGATGTTGTTGTTGATAATGTTGATGTTGTTGTTGATGTTGTTGTTATTGTTGATGTTGTTGTTGATGTTATTAATGTTGATGTTATTGTTGACGTTGTTGTTGACGTTGTTGTTGATGTTGTTGTTGATGTTGTTGTCGATATTGTTGGTGTTTTTGTTGATGTTAATGTTGTTGTTGTTGTTGTTGTTGTGTCTATTGTTATTGTTATTGGTGTTGATGTTGTTGTTGTTGGTGGTGGTGGGATTTGCCCAAAATTAATTTACAACAACATACACTGCACCCAACAAAAAATTTACTGGACTAAATAAAGAGTTAAACATTGATAGCACTAGAAACCAAATAACAATAATAATTATAACAACAACAACAATAATAATAATTAATAATAATATTAATATAAATAACGTTATTATTAAAGATATAATTATGATAACAATAACAAGAATAATAGCAAAAATAATAATAATAATAATTTCAACAATTACAACCAGCTATTAAAGCAATTAACAGTTAAGTTAGTCCCTTGTTTATTTCTATATTATAAACACACACACACACAAAACACACACGCACACACACACACAAACACACAAAACACACACGCACACACGACACGACACATACACACGCAGGCACACACACACAAAACACACACACACGCACACACGCACGCACGCACACACAGATATAGCACAACACACACAAACACACACCGAACAATTCACATACATAAAAACACATGCCTATGTTAAAGTTATGTGAAAATTGGTCTCTATAAATTTTATTCTTATGTTAACTGCCAAATGAATTTTTATTCATACATTCACTAGCATTCATGCATTCACTAGTTTGCCCATGAATGGCTGAATGAATGAATGAATGAATGAATGAATGAATGAATGAATTCATAAATAAGCAAATAAAAGAATGAAATAGTGATTGCCAGACTGACTGACTAAATGAATGAATGAATGAATGAATGAATGAATGAATGAATGAATGAATGAATGAATGAATGAATGAATGAATGAATGAATGAATGAATGAATGAATGAATGAATGAATGAATGAATGAATGAATGAATGAATGAATGAATGAATGAATGAATGAATGAATGAATGAATGAATGAATGAATGAATGAATGAATGAATGAATGAATGAATGAATGAATGAATGAATGAATGAATGAATGAATGAATGAATGAATGAATGAATGAATGAATGAATGAATGAATGAATGAATGAATGAATGAATGAATGAATGAATGAATGAATGAATGAATGAATGAATGAATGAATGAATGAATGAATAATGAATGAATGAATGAATGAATGAATGAATGAATGAATGAATGAATGAATGAATGAATGAATGAATGAATGAATGAATGAATGAATGAATGAATGAATGAATGAATGAATGAATGAATGAATGAATGAATGAATGAATGAATGAATGAATGAATGAATGAATGAATGAATGAATGAATGAATGAATGAATGAATGAATGAATGAATGAATGAATGAATGAATGAATGAATGAATGAATGAATGAATGAATGAATGAATGAATATTCTTATAACTAATACATAATTAATTTCTAAAGCAGAGCAAACATACAAGAAAAAATGTAAATATAAATATTAATATATGAAAGAAAAAACAAAGAAAACTATTGAAAACGAAAGCATAGATAAATAAATAATAAAAATGGCCTAACAACTAATAATGGCCTCGGCCACATCATCATTTTGAAGTTGGACCCAGGACCTTGTCGGTATCGGTTCAGCATAAAAATCCTTCTTAAATTTTTCAGCCGGCTGGCGAATGGCACTCAAAAAATCAGATATATCCTTGCTGCTTTTGATTGACAATCTTTCCCCATGGGGGCCACAAAGTGAGTCGCGACGGGGGTGCTTTTGTGGGAGATCACCTGGCTTCTTGATTGGTTGCTGATGCTCTGTGTTGGTGGATTTTTCAAGGCATGGATCTGTCTGTAGTTGTTTGGTTAGGTAAGAATAAGGTGAAATTTTGGAAGTGAATAGTAATGCTAGTGTTGGTTGACATTAAATAGTTTTTAAACCAAGTGAGAAAGGTAACATCATTATTAAAGTTTGTATTTAAAATTTAAATTTATAAAAAATGCTTCTGATTCTCTAATCTAATGAAGCATTTTTCAATAAAAAAATTTAATTGTTATATTGAAAAGATTATTTTTAATAAATCAAAAAAAAATATAATTTTCAAACTTCTGTGGGTGATTCAACCAAAATTTTAAAGTCATCCATTCAAGATTCAATCAGCAAAACAAAACTCTTTTAGCTAGATTAATAAATAAATGGCATTCATTAAATTCATTTAACAAGGTTTTTCGAGTATTTCAAAAAATTAATTATCTATTAAATAATTATTATTATTTAATTCATTTTTATTTCAATTTGAACTTTAAAAATTAAGTTTGGTTTGGACAGGCAAAAACAAATATTTCCAATTGCACAGCACAGCATGCAATCCAATGCTTCTAATCTAAAGGGAAAACATGAAACGAAACGTTTTAATTTATTATTTTTAAAAATAAATAAATTAATTAATTAGTGAATTTCATTATTTAATTTAGTGAAAATTAAAATTAATTCCACTTTAAATCCTGAAAAAAAGTGTTATAAGCCATATTCAAAAATTAACTAAGGTAACAAAAGGTAAGAGTTGACATTTGCTGAAAGCCAAAAATTGGCTTTTTGCTACCAGCAGCATCTTGACAAAAATGTTTTTAAATAATTAACAAATTTATTATTGTTATTTTACCATTTTAATAAAAATATTTATTAATTATTAAAAACGTATTAATTTAAATCTTCAATTCATCCTCCTAAGAAGGTTTTTCAACGATTCAACGATTAAAATTGTCAAATTTTATGGCTAACATACACTAAAAGATATAAACGTATATTTACTTGTATAAGACATGAAACATACAAACATGCATTATATACAAACATGCATTACATACAATCATTCATACAACATGCGCACATACACACGAAATTGTATTAATATGTATGATGGAGTTAATGTTTGCGTGAGCGCAAAGTCATTGACGCAGACAGAATAAATATTTGACTTGTTGCGTCTACACACACCACACACACACACACACACCGATACACACACACCGATACACACACACACACACCGATACACACACACAGGACATATATATATATATATATATTTATACAAACATACATTATGCACACAGGCATTCTCTACTTATATATATATATATATATATATATATATATATATATATATATATATATATATATATATATGTTGGTAATAGACCATAATTTTTAAAATATTCTATAAATTCTACCGAATGTTTGGCGTTAATATGTTTGTAGTTCGTTTGTTAATATATATATAATAGGAATTGATTTCATACTGAGACAAAAAATTTTTTGTGGGTGATTAAGAGTCAAGACGTATTGTTGTGAGATAATGAGAAAATATGCTAACACAAGAAACACACTAACACACACACACACAAACACAAATTTGTATATAATACTAACCATCTGTCCGTGTATGTGTGTGCGTGTGTGTGTGTGAGTAAACTTGTGTGCGTCATTTTCTACCTATTGGCATTTTAGCAGTCTCTGTTATATGCAAGCACGCATTTGTTACGCATGACCTTTATACTTTCCACCGTGCAACCGTGTTCCAATTTACAACGCCCATCGATACTTCACGCATTCTTCAAATTTTCCAACCCAAAAACACGACACAAAAGACATGTTTTTAGATTTTTTCATCACCATTTTTGAATATTTCAATATTTCCTCTACAAATATTCATTCATGTATGTATATATATATATATATATATATACATAAATGTATATATATATATTATATATATCTATAATATATATATATATTATAGATATAGGAAAATTGAAATGACAAACTTTAAATTGTTTAATGCCAACAATTCGGTAGAACTCATACAAAACTCTACATATAAATACAATATATAGACACATAAAAATGGAAACTCTTCTGGCAAACCTTATATATATTTTCTACATTCAACTTTAAATGCACCATGCGAGTGAAAATTTCAAATTTTCTCACGCAAATGGAAAAATCCGTAACGCACGCACGCACAGATAAAAGTTAGGACGGTTTTTACTGCATTTGAAACCCTGACATACTGCCAAATAAAGAGTAAGTTTGCCTGTGTATACGCGCGTACGGCAATAGGTACATTTTGACGTACAATTCCTCTTATGTGTAGGCTACACTTATTTATGTGTGATTACCTCAGGTTATAAATGTGATTTGGATATCAAAAGAAGGATAGCTATGGCGAAGGATGTATATTCTTAAATGAAAAAGATCCTTACCAACAGTAAAATCAGAGTATCAACAAAGTTAAAACTGTTAGGATGTTACATTTTTCCTGTGTTAACTTAAAGGCTCTGAGGCCTGGACAATTTCTAAAGAAATGGAAAAAAAAAATAACGCTGATGGGATGTTGTTTTTGAGAAAAATTATGAAAATTAGTTGAACCTCTCATACTTCGAATGAGGATGTATTAAAACGGTCCGGTTATGAAAAGAGGAAATTACTACAGATAATCCCGCGGGGGCAGTTTTTTGGTCACATCATGCAGAAGGAAAGAATGGAAAATCTAGCAGCTACTGGAAAGATTGCAGGGAAAAGAGATCGCGGTCAACAACGAACAACATCCGCGAAGTCCTTGTGTCACTTGTTGAATATCACCACATTTCAACAACTACAAAGTGTTGAAGATCGGGTTTTGTGGAGGTCGATGGTCGCCAATGTCCTGAAAGGATAAGGCACGAGAAAAAAGAAGACAGTGCAGAGAACAGCGCACACTCACTCATCTTACAAACATGAAGAAGCTTGTTGAGTGAATTAAATTAATTTCTAAGATTCAAAGTAAATTGATATTTAGAAAAAAACGAAACAACAAAACAGCAAAAAAATTTTTTCTGATTTTATTAAGTTCATTTAATCTAAGTTTTAATAAAAATTTTCATTAAAACTAGATAAAAAATTAATTCTCCTAATTCTTGGGGACACCTGAAAAAAATATTTCACAAACCAATCAATATGAAGCCAACAATTTTACAAATTCTTAAGAAATTAATATATAATAAATGTATAACAAAACTAATGTAAGGTGTTATAAATAAATCTCAGTCAGCTAAGAAGCAAAATTCTCATTTGAAAGTGATGCTAATGAATATAAAGTGTATTGAAGATCATTCTTCTTCATAAGAAAATGAACCAAACAACATTACACTACAGCTTAGGTCAGGCACCATGAATGTACCTGTAGTATTATAGAAGAGGAATTGAACTATAGCATTTGAACATTTGAATTCATGTGCACTATTACATAAATAGCCTAAATGACATTTAAAATCACAATAATATCAAACCACATATAAAAACAAAAAAAACCATACTAATATAACAAAAAGAAATGACTGACACGAATGATTCATTTGGGAGGCACCATGTCGAACTTGTCCCCATAAATAGGGACATACTTGAGGATGGCCTTCCAGTCAGTTACGTACAGGAAGGTGGCAACTCCTGTTGTGTAGAAGATCAACCCAGTTGGGGCCCTTGTATAATTTAAATTTTAATAATTATCAAATATTATAAGTATATAAATAAATTAAATAAGAAAAATTTATTAATGTCATATCCTATATTATTATTAATTATATTTGTACTATTATAAATTATTAAATTATTATTAATTATATTCATACTAATCGATGACATTAAGACTAAGTTATTTATATTTTAATCAAATAATTTTTATCATGATACATTAAAAGATGAACATTGATTTCCAACATTTATTATCATTTTCAACTATGAATTAAAAAAAAACTTTTGCCACTCTACACAAAACCAGTACCAGTATCTAAAGAGTTAGTTAGGTAAGAAATAAAATATGGTAAGCTGGTTTTTAAATTAAAATTAGTTTATTTATTATTAGATTTTAACAGTTAAGAACTTAAGATAGTTAAGTTAAAAATTAAATTATTAAAATTAAGTTTAATACTAATAGTTAAGTTATATAAGTATTATTTATTTATAAATATAATTAGGTTAAATGTTAAAACAAGTTTTTTAGAGACTCGGTTAATTAACTAATCACTAATCTACTTTTCTCCGTAACATGCGGCCGTTAATTTAATCCAACTTACTAACTAACAGACGAGAAAATCAAACCAAATTAAAAAGTCAAATGGAAAGAAAACGAAAAAACAAAAATAACCAACCAAACTTTGGCAAGTTCCAAATGCCGCCTACCGACCAATCTCGTCAACTTCATCATGTCGTCAAATTTAACCGTCTGCAATTTATTTAATTATTCACTTAATTATTAACTTGAACAGAAAAAAACCAAAAAATGCTTTATCGAAAGAGTTAAAAAACGACCTCAAACTACAGACGATGTGTGCGATGGTCGAAAACAAAATGAGTTTAGAACGATGTGAGGTGTTTGCTGAATGCCAATTTTATGAAAGTCGATAAAGCTAACCAGAATTTTGAGAAAAAAAGGTTTTTTTATACCCTCTTTAACGTTCTGAAAAATTAGCAACACACAGACAGCGTTTATGAGTACATGCTAAACCATAAACGACTCATCACACAGTGAGTGTGATAGGCTGGGAGCCCTTTGTTGCATTCGAACCCGGTCACTGCGTAAAAGGACCTGGCTATGCCATCAAAATTTAACGTTTCGATTATATTTTTTTCATTTGAACTATATTTAAATCAAATTAATGGAAATAAACAAACATATATAAAAACATATATAAATATAATATAATATAATTGAAACAAATATAAAAAATGATTAAAAATATTTATGAGTTAACTCTATAGAATGCGCTAATTCTAAGTTAATTCGTAATCATTCTATTATAACTGAGTGTATCATCTGATCATAAGCTTCAAGTGAGCTTTGTACCTAAAGATATCAAGTTGTTATTAATTTCACTATTTTGAGACGATTTTAAAAAAAATTACTACTACTGTTACAACTGCTACTACTGCTACTGCTGTTACTACTACTACTACTGCTACTACTACATTACCACTACTACACTACCACTAATACTACTACTACTGCTGCTGCTGCTGCTGCTGCTGCTGTTACCACTACAGCTACAAAATTACAACTACTAACTGCTACTACTACTACTACTACTACTACTACTACTACTACTACTACTACTACAACTACTACTACTACTGTTGCTGCTGCTACCACTACTGCTACAAAAACTACAGCTACAACTGTTATTACTACAACTACTGCTATTACTACAACCACTAGTTCACTACTAATTTTACCTGTTTTTCGGGCCCATTATTTTGGGAAAGTGACCAAATGATCTTCTTCCTCTGTTATGGTGGGGTAGTGGAGTAGTTTTACTCCGTTTGGCAAAAGGTTGATCATCATCATCATCAGAATCATCATCATCATCAGCATCATCATCAACAGCATCATCATCATCATCATCATCATCATCATCAACAACAACAGCATCGTCATCGTCGTCATCATCATCAGCATTTATCATCAACATCATCATCAACAACAACAACAACAACATCGTCGTCATCATCATCATCAGTTTTAATGTGAGCTCATCATTTTATGTGCCATTCCAATGCAAAATCGCTAAAACTCAACTCTCTTCTAAACTAAACTCTCCCATCAGTAATGAATACATGCTAAACACCAGCCAAGAGTTTGCCAGTAAACTCCGTTAACAACAAAATGTCATGCATTTTCTATATCTATAGTTAGCTTCGTGAACTCTTATTAATAAACAAACCATAAATTATGAACGTTTTGATGATGTCAAATACTAATACTGCTATTACTACAACCTGTAGTCTTAATATGATTTAATAATATTAAAGTCACACACACACCGCACGCACACGTACGCACACGTACACACACACACAAACACGTAACACACACTCAGATACACATACTTTCAAATCAAACAATCATCTTCACTCCTTAATGTAAAACACTCTACTGCACTCCTCAAGATCAACCTTGTCCCCATCGTAAACATACACACACACATACACACAGACACACACACACAAACACACACACACATACAAACATAAACACACACAACAATAAGAAGAAGAAGAAGAAGAAGAAGAAGAAGAAGAAGAAGAAGAAGAAGAAGAAGAAGAAGAAGAAGAAGAAGAAGAAGAAGAAGAAGAAGAAGAAGAAGAAGAAGAAGAAGAAGACAATTACGAACGGTGGACTAAAAGTGACAAAGTGTCCAAGTCAAACTGCCTATATTATTTATAATCAAAAAACTTAGTGATCCGACCGAGAAAACAAAAGATAATAATATATAAAAAAAACAATAAAATGGGAATTTCCAATTTGTGATAGCCCTTATCCTCAAATTAGATATACAAATTATACAAAAATCATTTCATCAGGTTCAAGTTTAAATTTAACAACAGTGTCAACTTCATTTAGAAGGATGGTGAAAGAGAGAGAGAGAGAGAGAGAGAGAGAGAAGAGAGAGAGAGAGAGAGAGAGAGAGAGAGAGAGAGAGTCAAAATGTAATTGTAGGTTTTAAGGTATAGTTAGTATATGTACGTACATGTGTGACTTATTTGTAGGTTTTTAAAAAGAATTAATTGTTGACATATATGCATATATATTGCATATATTGCATATATGCACATATAGTGAAAAATAGCTCTTCTCCTAAAAATTCTAGTGTTTTTCAACATTTAAATTATATTAAATTATATATTATTATATTATATTACATATAATTATATTATATCTATATTATATCACATCATAGACAAATTTTATGAAGAGTCGAAAATTGCATTGTGATTTCACGTTTTAAATCCCACTTATGACAACATGTCCATAGGTGAGAATTTATTTATTTCATCTATTTATTTTGTTTAATTATTAATTTTATCTAATTATTTTGTTTAATTATTAATTATATTTTGTTTATTTTGTTTAATTGTTAATTTTATTTTTAACTTTGCCCGGTTTCTGTACAATTTCTGACCAACAAACCATTCTTATTTAGTTTTCTTTCTGGTTAGTCACTCTATTATCTGTATTTCGTTCTTAAAAACGGTTCATCTTTCTCTATCTAGAGTAAATTCTAGAGTTAGTTAATTAATTAGTATTAATTAGTATTAATTAATTAATTAACCAGAGTTAAATCTTTTTCAATTTTTTTCCTGGCTTTGAAAAAGTCAAAAAATTCTTAAAAATTTTTTTATCTCTCTCTTACCTGTAATGAAGTTGGTGTGCCAGCTACAGAAGCGTCAACGTTTAACATGACGCTAGTGGCTAGTACACTGGCGTGATGGTCTAATGGTTAAGGTCGCCTGGTGCTGTTTCGCAGTAACCGGGTTCCAATGTGACAAAAAGATCCCGCCTATCACATGCTTCGTGTGGGATGCGTCGTTTAGCATGTACGATGTTTGGGCGCTCTGTTGTATCCTCTGAACTTTCGAAGAGTGTAATTGACCTTTAACCTTTTAATTGACCTTTTTTACGTAACATCCACAACGTGCACATTTGCGTGTTCGTGCAATCACTGTACAACCTACGCAAGATGTTTTATATATACGTAAGAAGGTGTATAACAGTCTCCAGTATTGGTATAAAATGCGTTCGAACTCGGTCAGTGTGCGACAACAGCGCGAGAAGCAGCATATCTGCCGTCTGAGCTAATGTTTTTGTATTATGTAAATGTATTTAACAACTTTTTAATAAGTAAGTCTGATGGAAAACTCCAAAAAGGAGAAAAAAATGTGTGCGTGTGTAAATGTGTGCGGGTAAATGTGTGTGTGTGTGTGTGTGTGTATGTATATATCTTTGTCTGTGTGTGTGTTTGTTTGTGTGAATGTGTGTCAACTGTATATGCAAGGGCGTAAATCAATTTATGTATTTCATTTTGGTAGATAATGCTGCTGAGTGATTAATTTGTTTGTTTGTTTCATTGGTCTGCCCTTAAATGTGACTAAGTTGGATGATGATGAAGATGATGAGGATGGAGATGATGGAGAAGATGATAATGTGTTTATATATATATATATATATATATATATGCCTGCATATATGTATATATATATTATATATATATATATTATATATATATATTATATATATATATATTATATATATATATATATATATATATGTGCCTGCATGTATGTGGAATGTACGTATGTATGTATGTATGCATGTGTGAATGCATGCATGTGTGAATATAACAAAATGCACAATGTACAATATGTTTGTATATGCTTTCGTACAGCGAGAGCCAAGGTTTGTATGCATTTTGTGTACAGCACCTCATGACTGAACTGTGTGTGTTGAGGTCTGGAGAGCTTCGTTTATACTATCGGTTGTGTATACACACACGCACACACACACACACACACACACATACACACACACACACACACATCCACAGACATACAAACACATAAAAGAACCCACAAAGAACATTCAGATATTAAAACAAATCCTTACATACACAAACTCACACGCACTTATAATTATATATATATATATATATATATATGTATATATATGTATATATATATATATATATATATATATATACCCACACATAAACAATCAGTCAAGCACATTTTGGGCTTCTGAAGTTATTCAATAGGAGCGCTCCCCAAATCCTTGGATACAGATTTACCAAACCTGTCATCCATCCATTTATCCAGTCATCCATTCATCTATCTATCCATTCATCTATCTATCCATCCATCTATCCATCCATCCATCCCTCCATCCATCCACCCACCCATCCATCAATCTATTCATCCATTCATTCATTCATCCATCCATTAATACCAGCATTTTTGAACCCCACCCCACCATTCCAAACAGCAACCATGAACTCCAGACGCCAACTCGTGGTTCGGTGCTATAGAAACATCATCGTCCCTCTAACTTCATCACAACCACCATCGCGATCACTATCATCATCATTTTTATCATCTTCATCATCATTACCACCATTACCATCATCATCGCGATCGTCATCATTGTCGTCGTCGTCTTTGAAGTTCGACCTGGTCGAACCGCCGTGTCCCCGTGTTGTCACTTCAATTCCTGGCCCCAAGTCCATAGCACTGACCAGCCAGCTCGCTGATATCCAAGTTTGTCGTGTCTCTTGCCTACCTATTTAGTTATTCGTTCACTCGTTTGTTCATTCATTCATTCGTTCATTCATTCATTCATTAATTCATTCATTCATTCATTCATTCATCCATTCATCCATCCATTCATTAGAATGCCAAAGCAGTTCAGATGTTTGTTGATTACGGCAGATGTTCCGGAAACTATCTGGTCGACGCCGATGGGAATGTTCTGCTGGACCTCTACACCCAGATATCGTCTTTGCCATTTGGTCGGTCGGTTGGTTGGTCGGATGGACGGATGGATGGGTGGATGGATGGATGGATGGATGGGTGGATGGATGGATGGGTGGATGTATGAATGGATGGATGGTTGGTTGGTTGGTTGGATGGATAAATGAATGGTTGAGAATATTAGAAGATTAGTGAATAAATGAATGTCTGAGAGAAAAAGCGGGCAGTTGATACTGGGCTGGATTAATGAGTGAATGAATGAATGAATGAAGGAATGGATGAATGAAAGAAAGAAAGAAAGAAAAAATGAATGAAAGAAAAAATGAATGAATAAATGATTGAATGAATGAATGTTATGTGTCTTATTTCACATTCAACCAGGTTACAATCATCCCAGATTTGTTGAGGCCGTGAAAGACCCCAAAAATCTGGTTAGCTTTGTTAGAATGGGTAATAAAAATGATGACGATGATGATGATAGCGATGATGATGATGATGATTAACGACGATGATGACGATGGTTATATCAGTGGGTGATGATGATGAAGCCGACGATGATGATGAAAGCGATAATAATGATGAATTGCAACCCTTTTCATCATAAACACAAGAGTTTTTGTGTTTATGATGAAAAGGGTTATTTTCACGATGGAGGCAATGATGATGATGACGACGACGATGATGATGACGATGCTGATGACGACGATGATGAAAAGGATGATGATGATGACGACGACGATGATGATGATGACGATGATAACCCTTCAGCCACTGATGATAAGCAGACCGGCTCTTGGCAACTTCCCTCCTCTTGATTGGGTGGAACGACTGAAGAGGGCTCTCTTGTCTGTAAGTATGGAATTTTAATCACAAAACTTTTCAATCACGCAACTTTTCAATCACTCAACTTTTCAATCACAAAACTTTTCAGGTAAGCAACTTCTTATTCATACAACATTTCAATCATAAAACTTGTCAATTTTCGACCAGTAAATTATCAATCAAACAGCATTCCAATAACGTCACTCTTCAATCTGACGTCCCTCACTTCAATCGCACATCTCCTCACTTCAATCGCACATCTCTTCACTCATTACAACTCTTTACTCATTGAATTATCGACCAATCAAAACCTCTTCTAAAATCACGTGACTCAGATAGCCCCCAAGGGCATGGCGCATGCGCAGACGCTTGGTTGTGGTGCCTGCTCAAATGAGAATGCCGTCAAACTGGCTTTCATGACTTATATGGTCGGTTGTTTTATACGTGTGTCTGTGCGTGTGTGTGTGTAAATGTTTGTGTGTGTGTTTGTGTAAATACGTTTAAATGTTTTTTGTGTGTGCGTGTGTATGTGTGCGTGTGTGTGTGTGTGTGTGAATATGCGTGAATGTTGTTTGTGTGTATGTGTGTCATCGTACGTCCGTGTGTTAGTACGTCTGTGATCTTGCTTGTATTACTTGTATGCTTCTTCATCTACCTTCTCTTTTCAATTCGGTAGCTTTTTATAACAATGTCTCAACATTTTCACAGTACAATTTTCAGTAACTCAAAACTATTTTTTTGAAGATCGCAAACACTCCCACAACAGTTTTTAACCTCCCAATACAGAAACTTTTAAAGTCATAATGTTTAAACATTCTCACAAAACATTTGAAATATGAAAAAATATCCACAACAAATCGCGATTTTAATAGACAAATTTTTTGTTGAAATGTTTCGGTTTCAAAGAGAAGGGAACGCAAAGGTAGGCCTGTATCAGAGCAGGAACTGAAGAGCTGCATCACCAATCAACCACCGGGTGTGCCAAATCTGTCTATACTGTCATTCAATAAGGCTTTCCATGGCAGAACCATGGGTTGGTTGGTTGGCTGGCTGTTTGGTTGGCTGGATTGTTGGTTGGTTGGCTGGCTGTTTGGTTGGTTGGATGGTTGGTTGGTTGGTTGGCTGGCTGTTTTGTTTTTTTGTTGGATGGTTGGTTGGCTGGTTAGTTGATTGATTTAATTATCAACAAATAATTTTTTATTCATTTTTTATTAAAAATTCAATCAACAACTTAGAATCAAATAAATGATTGATAGGAACTCACCAAAACACTCACATCGTTATGTGCAATAAGCACCACTAAATATTATCCAACAAAAATATACATCATAAACATTCAATCATATAACTGAATGAAAGTTTAACTGAAAGAATGGACAAAATAATTAAATACTAAATTTGCTAAACAAACGAAATATCAAAAATTCAAATTGAATGGCCCATAAACACCCCTTAACACCCCTTACAAGGTTGTCTGGGCCTGACCCACACGAAGTGGCCCGTCAAATTGGACGTACCACAACCTCAGTGGCCCATTGCAACCTTTCCACAACTGAAGTACCCCTTAGAAGAACATGAGAGGGAGAATTTGAAGGAAGAAGAAAAGTGTTTGAGTGAGGTTGGTCGGTTGGCTGATTGGTCGGTCGGGTGATTGTCGGTTGGTTGGTGAGTTTTTTGGTAGGTTGGGAGTTGGTTGGATGGATTGTTGGTTGTACGGCTTGTTGGTTTTATGGTTTGTTAGTTGTATGGTTTGTTGGTTAGACACCTCCTACCATACCCTTCTAACTTTTTCGTCTGCCAGGTTCAATTTAAAATGTCAGAATGGAGAGACAAGGGTTGTCCTGTGGCTGCGGTCATGGTGGAGCCGATCCAGGCGGAAGGGGGCGACAACCACGCCTCGCCACATTTTTTTAGGAGGCTTCAGCAAATCTGCAAACAGGTGAGTTGGTGAATGTTGGATTAGTATATTTCAAACCGCGATAATTGAAGCCAGTTAATTTCTAGCAGCCAAAAATCAGAGTCATTCATCATTACACACAGACAAAAAAAACATTCATCTATCTACCAAATACAAAGAAAAACAAATAAACAAACCAACAACACAAACAACACAAACAAACAAACGAGCAAACGAACGAACGAACGAACAACGACATGCAAAAAGACAAACATCTCTTTCACACACGCACATCATAAGAGCAAACCCGCTATTACAATGAAAAACAAGCAGATAAACTTTGTTCACAATTTTCAAACACGTCATTCCACACGCAACCAAATCAAAAATTCACAAACCTACTCCCAAAAACTCAGAACGGGGCGTACTTCCTAGTAGACGAGGTGCAGACGGGGGGTGGAGCCACAGGGACCATGTGGCATCATGAGACGTGGGGACTGCCATGCCCACCTGATGTCGTATCCTTCAGTAAAAAGATGTTGACCGGGGGTCTGTATTTCACAGAGGAGATGATGCCATTAGAGGTTGTTGTTGGTGTTGTTGATTTTAGTGTTGTTGATGTTGTTGTTGATGTTGTTGTTAATGGTGGAGTAGATGTTGCTGTTGATGTTGTTGGTGGTGGTGTTGTTGTTGTTGCTGTTGTTGTTGTTGCTGATGTTGTTGTTATGTTGGAGTTGATGAGGATGTTGTTGTCATTATTGTTTTTGTGATTTATATCATTTTAAACAGCGGTATTTCCAGCATTTCTCAACAATTTTTCCAAAAACTCCTGTTACGTCAAACGACTTTCTAGCTAATTTTAAGCACACTTATCTGCATCTGCATATGCATTCAAAATAACACACAGTGCAAGTAAAACTTTACAAAGAAAGACACAAACACACAAACCAAAACAAGCAAACGCATGTACACACATACACAAACAAACTTTAAATTTACTTATACATTATGTACACATCCACTCTCTGTGCAAGCAAGACGCACACATACACGCACGCACGTACACACACACACACACACGTACACACACATACACACACACGCATATTCAGAGTTACAGAATTTTCAATACATGGCTCGGTGACCCATCTAAGGTTATTATTATAGTCATTATTATTGTTGTTCTTGTTGTGGTTGTTATTACTATTGTTGTTGTCTCACCGCGGTTTAGGTTTTAATTTGTTTACCTTGTTGTTGTTATTAATAACAATTTTATTATTATTATCGTTGGTATTTATATAGCGCCAATTATACGACGATAATTCTACCAAAAGGTCATGCTACTAGAAGTCATGGCTGAAGCAATAGAGGAATGGAACCTGTTGGCTCACGTCCGAGAAACAGGAAGGTACCTTCTCAAGGGGCTTCAAGATCTCCAGGTTAACAAGGGGCTGGTTGATTGGTTAGTTGATTGGTTGGTTGGATAGATGATTGGTTTGTTGGTTGATTGGTTAGTTGAATGGTTGGTTGTTTTGGTGAATAGGTGTGTTTTTTTAAGGGAGTAATTTTTTATTTGTTTTTTATCATTATATTGTAGTCTAAACTACAAATAGATCATGATAAATATAGAAAGCTTTTTATCTGGGTCATGTAAACAACGACAATAACAAAAAATTAGGTCAGGTACCCAGGTCAGATGTCGTCGACAAGGGGTAAGGGGTTCTTCCTCGCATTCGATGCCAGGGATGAAGTGTCCAAGAATAAGTTGATCGATTCTTTGAAGATGAAAGGTAGGTGTGTGTGTATGTGTTTGTTTGTATGTGTGTCTGTGTGCGTGTATGTCTGTGTGTGTTTGCATGCGCATGTCTGTAGAGGCGGATCTAGACAACTTTGACGGGGGAGCCAAAATTTAAAAAATGTTTAAATTTTTACGGGGAAGGGCAAAAATTTGTACTTGGGAGGGCCGAGATTTAGTGTATTGTGCGGCTGGCGACCTTTTTTTAGATTTTTACGTTCAATTTTTGGTCGATTTTCAACATAAAACTATCCTTTTTCGGACTTTTATTTAAAAAAAAGTGTCCTCTAGATTCGCCACGGCACTGTGTGTCTGTGAGATGTGGCATCAATCAAACAACAAGCTGAGATTTCATTGCGTTCGAACCCGGGTACTGTACTATACGACGTATTATCATAATATATACTACAAAAATAGGTGTGTGCGTGGGCGGTTGTGGCGACCACTCGGTGCGGCTGAGGCCAGCGCTGGTGCTTCAGAGGCCACACGTTGACCTCTTTCTTGAGAAGTTGAAAGAATCCTTGGAAGAGTGCAAATAACGGTGGTGATGATGGTTTTATTATTATTACTGTTATTATTATAGTTATTATTATCCTATTATTATTATTGTTTTTGTTGCAGAATGTTCATTAGTTCAATTCCATAACGTTAATTTATTAAATAGTTTTGAATGGAAATGATTTCGAAAATATGAAAATAAAATGGCTCATAATTTGGATTCTTCACCGATTCCAACATTTCCAGCTTTTTATTTGTTGAATGAATTGTTGTACGAGTTGTGGGAATTGTTGAATGAATTGTTGAACGAATTGTGAAAATTGTTGTGTGAATTGCTATGTGAATAGCAATATTATTAACAATTATTTCGCACACAACATGCCTTGCGTTTGACATCACGAACTCGTTAAAAACGCTCGTGTAGAAGGATAAGTAACACATAGTTATGCATATAAACAGACAGAGATAGACAGACAGACAGACAGGCAGAGATAGCCAGACAGAGACAGGCAGACAGAAAACACTCTCACACACTTGCATTTCAGAAATTGTAAAGTTGAAACTTTTTATAAGTTAATGCTTAAAGAAATTAATTAATCAATTTGTTTATTAATTGATCAACAAGTTAATTAATTAATTAATTAATTAATCAGTTTAATAAACGCTCTCTTTGCTGTCTAAAATATGAAAAACCACAAATAAATAACTTTAAGTATTGGATCAGCTGACCAACTCTATTAACTCTCCATCAAAAACTCATAAACTGTTCATCCATTATATTTCGTTAATTATTTCAATCAAATCAATCAATCAATCAATCAATCAATCAATCAATCAATCAATCAATCAATCAATCAATCAATCAATCAATCAATCAATCAATCAATCAATCAATCAACCAATCAGATTATCAATATTATTAAAATTAATAAAACTATCACTACTAAACGTGTCTGAAAGGCATTTTGAAGAAGCTTATAGTGAAATTTTTTAAAATTTTATTTTATTAAAACTGAAAATTAAAAAAAAAAGTAGAAAAAAGTTTCCCGCTAAAACGAGAACTCTGGAGTGTCGTCGTCAGCAGCTGTAGCAGTAGCAGCAGCAGCAACAGCCTCTTCTTCGTTTATTCGCTCCTCCATTGCATCTAAAATTCGGCCAATTTTTCTGTACGTCTGAATGGAATTTAAATGCAAAAAAAAACTCAATTCATCATCATAATTGAAGTTACACATAATTACAAATTTAATGCAAAATATTTCATTGGAGCATGTTTTTCATCAATAGACAAATCGATCCAATCGAGGCAGTCAGTCGGAAAGTTAGCCCAGACGGTAGAAGCCCCACATCTCGTATTGCTCTTTCACGACGTCCTAGTTCGAACACTGCCTGCCCAAAGGTCAAAATTCATCATAAGTCAAAGGTCATGACGCGCGTCGTGTGGTGCAAAAATTTAACCCCAGCATGTTCGTTTCAGAGCAGTTGGCTGGTGGCTCTCTAGTTGCTTTCCATCTCATCACATTTGGTAGTTCGACAGTTGTACAGTGTCTCAAATTAAACACTTTAAACCATCAAACTTTAAATGAACGTAGAAATTTTATACTATATTTAAAAAAGGAACGAGAGAGAGAGGGAGAAAGAGTAAGAAAGAGAGAGAAAGTAAGAGAGAGAAATAAAAAATAGCCAAACAACATTGAATTACCTCTTTGCAGCGAAAAGTTTCTATTCCGGTGGGATTTCTTTGAATTTGAAAAAAAAAATTGACAAATTAAACCGCGGTTTCATTTAATGGGATTATGAATTCGAAAAAAACTTGAAAAAAATGTTTTAATCAGGAAATTATTTTATAAAAATAATTAAATTAAAAATTTAAAAATTTGAATGACTTTACTCTCCTGAATGAATAAACACAGAGAAACAAACCAGAAACGCAAATAATTGTTCAAAAAGAAGCTAAAGTTAAGATATATTTGCTAAAGTTAAAAAGATACAGAATAAAATTACGTTAAAAATTATTTATTAATTACGTTAAATAATTATTTATTATAAATAAAATAATAAAATTAACTCAAAAATGTAACAAAAAATGAATAATAACATGTTATTATCATGAGAAGAGGAATAAGAGCACATGTTAACATCGCCAGCACCACGAGTTGATGATGGCGTCACGTGTGAAGATGTTGACGCGGCAGCTGCCGATGACGTCGCAGATGATGAAGCAGCGACATGACGCTGCCGAGGCGTGCCACTTTCGACGGCTTTTTGCAGCTCCTCCAGCCGCTTCAACAGTTCAACGTACTTTGTGGTGGCCAGTTTCTGGATGTTTCCTATCCTCCTCTCCTTTGTGTATCCTGTTGTTTGTGAGGTGAGGAAAGAAAAAAATCCATCATCTACGTCATCATCCAAGTCATCGTGAATAAAAAAGATGACGATGATGACGACGACGATAATGGAAAAACGAGCAAACAAACAAAGATCACAAAAACGATGGAAATGACGTCATCAACGAAAGTCGCTGAAGCGAAAAAAAACCCCGCCCACTTTTTGACGAGGACGTGCAGTAGATACAAGTGAACGATGACGACGATGACGACGACGATGGTGGTGGTGGTGGTGGGTAGGGTAGAATGTACTGAAGCAGATCGTGGCAAGAGTGGCAACAGACGCTGAAGCAAGTGTCGCACTTGGGATAAAAGATCATAAAATGACGTCCCAACAATAACAATAATAATAAAATAATAATAATAATAATAACTTTAGTGGCGGGTCTGCCCACACAGTGCTGGGAGCAGTAGAGACATGTCAGCTGTTCGTTAGCCATCATGGTCAGCTGTTGTTGCTGTTGTTGTTTGTGTGCGTGAGCGTTGTGTGGCTGCGTCTGCCGCCTCCTGCTGCTGCCGCCCCCGCTGCTGCTGCAGCTACTGCAGTTGCTACCTGCAATTAAGTTACGAATTAACTATGGGCAGATGAATATATAATGATTGAATAATGAAGAAGTAAGAAGGGTCATTCTCGCTGCTCTTGACGCACGCACACACACACACACGCGCGCACGCACACACAAACGCACTCACACACACACACACACACACACACTCGCGTACGTAATCACGCTAGAAAAACTCGCATCTCACTGAGGGCATAAGATAGGCCCGGGACTCTTTTGCGTTCGAACCAGGTAGTTGCGAAATAGGACCAGGCACCTTTGACCATTAGGCCACCAAGAAAATATAGTTTCGGGGAATTTTAGACTGAAACAGCCGTTTCGTATACTTCCTATTGTAAGATTTACTTGTAAGCCAGCCTTACAATGGAGGTAGACATCTATTAAAATTTATAGAGGGAGGTTTGACTGCAGGTGCTATAGTTCTATTCCTAAGCCTAAATTTTATGATAGACTGTTTTTAGATTGCCATTGAGGTTCTTCTTTGTAAAAAGGAAATATATCATTGATTAATATCAAGTTAAAATTGAAATTTATTTAATTATTCATTCATTCCTTCATTCATTTCTTTGCTCATTCCTTCGCTCATTCATTCATCCATCCATTCATTCATTCATTTATTTATTCATTCATTCATTCCTTCATTCCTTCATTCATTAACTCATTCATTCATAAATTTACCCATTTATTCATTTATTATTAAAAAATATATTTCACCATGAAGAGCTTTGGTACAGGGCCTGGAATGGTGGCTGACATTTTGTGTCTGGTTGAGCTGCAACATGCCATACTGTTGGGGGAGGGATGGAAGAATTCATGGATGAATGAATGTATGAATGAATGTATGTATGAATGAATGTATGAATGAATGTATGTATGAATGAATGTATGTATGTATGAATGAATGAATAAATGAATGAATGAATAAATGAGTGAATGAATGAATGAATGAATGAATGAATGAATGAATGAATGAATGAATGAATGAATGAATGAATGAATGAATGAATGAATGAATGAATGAATGAATGAATAGATGAGTGAATGAATGATTAGTTCAACGAATCAACAATGACTGAATTGTTTAAAGAATGAATGAATGAATGAATGAATGAATGAATGAATGAATGAATGAATGAATGAATTAATAAACTGACCATGGCCCTCTCCTTCTTATTCATGATGCGGACATTTCTGAACGACACGGACTTCCGGACGCCGTCGTAAAATATGACGTCATATTTCTCCCCTGGATTCAAATACAACAAAGAAGAAACAAATTAAAAAAATTTCTAAAGAAACAAAGTCAAATTAGTCAAACATTCACTCAAATTAGACAAATAATCAATTGAATTAGTCAAATAGTCACTCAAATTAGTCAAATAATCACTCTGATTAGTCAAATATTCACTCTGATTAGTCAAATATTCACTCAAATTAGTCAAATATTCTCTGATTAGTCAAATATTCACTCTGATTAGTCAAATATTCACTCGAATTAGTCAAACATTCACTCAAATTAGTCAAATATTCCCTCTGATTAGTCAAATAATCACTCAAATTAGACAAATATTTACTCAAACCAGTCAAATATTTTAAAATATATTTACAAACATGAGAGTTTTTCCCATGTTTTCCATTTATCTACCAGAGTCAAATATTTACTATTATCTATATGGAGAAGCAGAGAAGAGATAGAAAAAAATGGGAGAGGAAGGGAGAGAGAAGGAGAGAGAAAGAGAGAGAAAAAAAGGAGAGAGAGAATGAGGAAAAAACGAAAAGGGGGGGAAATTGCCAATGAGGGAGAGAGAAAACGAAAAAGGGCATGAATGAATTAGAAATATTTACAATAGTACATAGAATTCAGAATTACTATGAATTATAATTATCAAGATTCATAAATATTATAAATCACAATCACCACAATTCACAATTAATATTATAATTCACGGTTATAATAATTCATAATTATTATAATTCGCCAACCTTTGAGATTGGCTGATCTAACTTTCCCCGGGTACATCTGTCCATCGGACCATAGGGCCATGACGCACTGGCCACTGCTGTAAATCTGGGTGGTCATTCATTCATTTATTGGGGGTCATTTAGGGTTTTGGGTGGTGCAAGGGTGTAAAATGGCTAAAATTTATCGCTAATGTTATTATTATTATTGTCATCTTGAATATTGGTGTCATTATCCTAATCACCACCAACATTACCATCATCACCATCATTATCGTCATCACCATCATCACAGTCATTACCACCATCCTCATCATCATAACAACCATCAAGGTCATCATCATCATCATCATCAAAACCACCACCCCAACTTCTCCAGACTAACAGGAAGACTATGCTGACTCAATCCTGATGCAGACGATGACCTGTTATTATTATTCTTATTATTTGAGGGAGATGGTGATGAGCTGGTGGTGAGGGGCCTCAGTCTGTTACTCCTCACGTGCACCCACTCATCGTAGCGACTGTTCCAACCTTCAAAGTGCACCAGCACCAAGTCCTTCTCGGCGTCCGATCCGATGATCTTCGCCGTGTACCTGGTTTTTTTTTTTTCATTATTACAAACTTTTTCGTCGTAAAGTATATGTATTTATTGTATATCTTTATTACATTTATCATCCTAAATTATCTAAGCATGCTTATTATATAGTTACATTATTATATGTATAATTCTAGTTTATAATTATAATACAAACTAACTAATCTAAAACATACAGTCATTAATAAAATGCACACAGAATACAAACACAATACAAATACACTAATAATTAATTAAAAATAAACACGGATAAATTAATAAATTAAATTAAAATTAAATGTCTGTGCTTATTTTTAATTATTTAAAAAGAGATAGGAGCACAAACACATACTTATTAAAATTAAATTAAATTAACTGACACACATAAACACATTTTTTGATTATTAAAATATTTATATAATTAATTTTATTATATTATCTATTAATAATAAAATTATTAAAAATCAACACTTCAATTTTTAAAAGTTGTTTGTTGGTTAACGTTTTATTAGTTATTCAATAAATTTATTTTATAACTAATAACTTAATAAATTAATATTTATAACAAAATAACTTATACGAAAAATAAAATTTAACACAAACCAATAGTTCAAATAATCTTGAGCTTCCAATCTGTCCCCAACCTCCCAGCCTTCCGACATCTTACTCTACAAACAAAAACGAACCTCGAATTGAAAAATTGAAGAAATAAGCTGGAAACAATGTAAACAAGCACGAGATTAAATGCATGTGCTAAATTCACTTCCGCATTCAATTTGCACGCACACACATACACACGCACACAGATATACACACGCATACATATAAACAACGTTGAAACCTCTGAAGCTAACGCAAAAGACAGAGAGAGTAACCTTTAACATACAACATATGCACACACACACACATGCCCACACGCGTACACACATACACAAACATACACACACGCATACATATGAACACACACTCACACACGCACACATACAACATATGCACACACACATACATACACATGCACACACACATACATACACATGCACACACGCGCACACACATACACACATAAATAAACACACATACACACACTTATATGCACACACACACTTATATGCACACGCACACATACATGCACACACATACATAAACTCACACATACAGACACACACCTATACGCACATGCACATAAAAAGATCTTAATCAACGACACATGAATTCGCCATTTCGTAAAAGTTGGCTCCAAAAATAGCAATTTCTCTGAGGTTTTGTTACTTTGTTTTTCAGGTGTTTATATATATATATATAGGGCTAATATTATTTTGAGGTGTTTATATATATATATAAGGCTAATATTATTTTGAGGTGTTTATATATATATATAAGGCTAATATTATTTTGAAGTGTTTTTCAAAACATTTTGTTTTAGAATCAAAAATGTTATTTTTATATTTAAAATTATTTAATAATATTTATGAGTAATTAGTAATTACAAGTATTATAAAAGTTTTTTTTACGCCAGCTAAATTAAACAAAAACGACATCAAGTCGACTAGCGAAGAAATTATTTTGACATGAAAAAGCTTTATACTTTATAAACGCGTCTAACCCTTCATAAATGAAGCCTTACAGACTGTCTGCTACCTGCTATATCCCAATAATTCACACTGCTTAAAATTTGGAAAAGGTTTCTTGAAGTTTTGTATTACTTTCTTGTCAACGACATCTGCTTATTGCTATTGTCATAAAGTATTGTAATCAGTGGCAGATCTAGAGGACGGCCCGGAGTGCCATGACCCCGTTGTGAGCAGTATTTTCATTAGAAGCCGGTAAAACTCAGTTTTTACACACAAAAAGCACAGTTTCAATATTGAACTGACAAGTCTAATTTCGGCCACACTACTACAAATCTTGGCCAGCCCCGTCAAAATGTCTAAAAAAATTTATAAATTTTCCAAATTTTGTCCCTCCCGTCAAAGTTGTGGTGTATTTTCATTTCTAGAACACACTTGAACGTATAAAAAAACGCATAAATGATGAAAAGGTACTTCTTGGAATGGTCTTAAGATAAACAAGTCAAGTGGAAAACACGTAAAAAGTCCAACATGTTGTTCCGATTAACTTTTGAGAGAAAAATTGAAAATATAAGACGTAGAAATGAAGTCATATGCTTCATATTTATACGAGATATTAAAAAAAATACATATACGCGTTACTTCAAAATAAGAACTCGCCACATTGTAGAAATGCAACCACACACACAGACAGACACACACACACAGACACACAACACACACACACAGACACACACACACACACACACGCACACAACACACATAAATACATATAGAACAACAACCATCAACCAAACATGAATAAAAGTTGAATACAATGCACGCTTCAGACAGCGTTTGTTTGCGAGCATTCAAAACAGAAGACGGCATTTGTTGTTTCCACGTTGTATATTGATTGGCGCCCTGTTGCTATGGCGACAAACGATTCACGGCGTTTAAAGAGGATCGTCGTCCAGTCTTTAAATTTAATTAAAAGAACAATTTCGCTAAAATTAAAATTTTAAAAATCCTAAAAATGTCAGGTAATTCCTACAGAACCGAGATGGAGCTGAGAGAGCACCGCATTCAGTACTGCAAAACTACGTCGAAATTTGTACTGACGAACGTCGGGCTGGGTGTCACGATGATAGTTTACACCATCATCGGAGCACTTGTCTTTCAGAATCTGGAGACAACCAACGAGAAACAACAGTGCATACGCAAAATGAACGCCTACAATCCGATAGAGAATGAGACCGCTGAGGAGTTATGGAAGGCTGCTCAAGTTTTCCAGCAGATTGACGATGAGGAGAATGCGTTGGACGCAATATACGACATTGTTGTTGACTTTCGACAGAAGGCACTTGCTCTGAAGTATGACGGAAAGAATTGCTCGCAGATCGGAGTGGACGGTGGCCCCCAGTCTGATTGGTCATTTAGTGGGTCGCTCCTCTTCTGCGTCACTGTTTTCACCACTGTAGGTCAGGTGATGGCCTTAACAATTTTTTGCATTAAAAATGTTTTTTTATTTATTTTAATTTTTTTTGTTTTGTCTCTTCAAAATGTGTAATTTTGAAATTTAAAATTGTTAAAAGTTGGCGCGGGTTAACATGAGTAAAATTTTTTAGAGAATGTACCATGCATATTTAGGAAAGTTTTATTCGGCCCATTCATCTTGGCGTTATTTGAGGGATTGTCATCTGAAGATAAATTTGACATAATGTGTATTGATAAATTGCATTTATTGGAAAATTTATAGAATAACTGCACAGGTCAGCTTATATCATTTCCCCGCTAAATTTCACACAATAAACATGAAGTTACATCACTTCTAAGATCATCTTGCATGGTCCTACATTATTTTTTTCATTGATTTAATAAAAAATAATGACAATAAATTAACAAACATTAAAGTTGAGTTAAATTCTTGAAATACTTTCTCAGGATACGGAAACATCACTCCACAGACATTCTACGGTCGATTGGTCTGCATCATATACGCACTCGTTGGAACGCCCTTAATGCTCGTCTTCCTGGCAAACATCGGTTCAATCATGGCTGACGTCTTCCGGTTTGTTTACGTGAGGGTTTGTTGCTGCGGATGTCTCCGACACCGGATCGGATCGAATCCCGGTGACATCGCGAAACTCAAAAACGAGGAGGAATATTCGGAAGACGACGACGAACATATAAGTGTACCAATCACTGTAACGATGGCCATGATTACTGGCTACATTTTCATGGGCGCCCTACTCTTCAGTTCCTGGGAGAACTGGAGTATGTTGCAGTCGGCTTACTACTGCTTCATCACCATCGCTACGATCGGCTTTGGAGACGTTGTTCCAGGCGTCGCCAGTATGAACGACACGTCGGGGCAGTTTATTATGGTCGGAGCTGCTCTCTACTTGGTGTTCGGTATGGCCATCATGTCCATGGCTTTCAATCTAATCCAAGAAGAAATGATTGGAAAAGTTGTGTGGATTACCGAGAAACTTGGTTATATTTCCAGGTTTCAAAGAATAATTTTAATATACATGACAATTTGAATTGTTTCTCAGGTCTGTCAAAGCAACAGGAATGCGAAAACGACGGGCCAACGGACCAATCAACAGCCATAATTTCAGAGCCGAAGAGTAAGGACCCGTTCGCAATGGCCTCACCCATGGAGGCACCCTACCCCATGTACAAACCCTCCGATAATCCTGAAAATTTGAAACACATGCTAAGAGAGCCTTCAACTCTCACCAACTGGGCAGCTGCCGCGATTTCCCAGAACACCAAGAAATGAAAAATGGTAGGAAGGGACATTTTTGTTGTTCCATAGGTGCAAAAGATGAAAAAATTATATCGAGCTATGGTAAAGAAATTTGAAAAAATACTTTAATAGGATTTTGTAGTGAAATGAAATGAGTCTATTTTTCTATGAAATATTGTTCAATACCAATTTTTTAGCCATAAATATTATTATCGATCGATTTTCACTAATGTAATAGCTTATTTACAACATACTATTTTATATCTTATTTAACATTAATATATTTCTTGTTATATTTCTTAGGTCTAAGTGTGACATTGGTTTAAAAATAATTCACCGAACATTTTTTTCAAACAAATATCGAAAAATAGAGTAATTCATTTTAATATTTTATTAAGGCATGATGGGTGTCAATAGCCATGTTAATAACTTCACGTGGCAAACACTGCAATTTAATTATACTTGAGAAAACATTTTTACAAAATAATTAATTTCATCAATTAATTTCATTCCAATGTCACACTTAGACCTAAGAAATATAACAAGAAATATATTAATGTTAAATAAGATATAAAATAGTATGTTGTAAATAAGCTATTACATTAGTGAAAATCGATCGATAATAATATTCATTAATTACTTCAATTAGCAGATTAATTTCGTATCTTCCTTTCAATCTTTTGAATGAATTTATATCATGTACTCAAATATTCTTTATATTTTCACCGTTCAGATATATTTTTGAAATTCTGTAAAAAGCAATAAATTTGTAAAAAAAAGTTAGAAAGAACTCTTAAATATTTAATAGCGTGGATGGAGACACATTGAAAGGACCGGATGAAAATTTTCGCAAATTTTTTTCAGAAAATTGAAATAAGAACCAAAAATTATTTAAATCGAGTATAAGCTAAAAACCTTTCCAATTTTCCATAGCTGATGGGGCTACACAATTGACATTGAAAACAAGTCCTTACCAGAGAAAATAAAGGGAAAAAATGACCCAGCATACGACACATCACAACGCTTTTTGAGCAGTATTTTGATACTGAAAACATGGCAAATCATTTTTTGATAGGAAATTCATTTGTTGTTTATTAGTAGGAAGAGGGTTCCTGATGAGGATGAAATAATGAATGATTCAATCAATCTTCCAGCCAGATTTTCTCTGAAAAGACTGGCAGAGTTTTGGGGCATCTTAAAAAAATACGTATCCGAATTTATTCAAACGAGCAGTGTTAGCGCTGATCCCGTTTTGTAATACTCACCCACGTCAACCTATTAAAAAGTTTTCTAAAGTTATTTCAAAACCACGCAAAGAAGTAAACCAGATGTCTCGAATGACATGAGAATAAGGGATACCACTACTTAACCTTAACTCAACAAACTCTCTGAAGACTCTCATTAGGTTTGAAAAACTTCTGCAACATAAGTAATAATTAATTAACGGTTCCAAAAAACGTACAGGTACGAGCAATGTTCAATTTTACGCGGTACTAATAAATAATTAAATTCAAGTAATTCATCTAATTTTCCCACTATCCAAAAGTGATTTGCAAAAAAAAAGAAAATTGAAAAAAAGAAAGGAAGGAAAAAAAAGAAAGAAAAAAAGAAAGAAAAAATAGAATCAACAGGAACCAAACGCGTAAAGATAGCCTATCAGAGCTGAAGCGCCGTAAAACTGCAAAAGAAAAAGAAGAAGAAGAAGAAATTCAAGTAACAACTTGATTTTCTATAATTATCGGGAGTTGAGAAAGTAGGGAGGTCATGGCGTAATTGAGTTTTTTTTTAGGTTGGGTCAACCCCAAAAAGGCTGGGAAACACCTATGCAAAGTAATTCAGTTAGTAACTAACCTTTGTTCTGTATAGAACATCCGTTACACTTCAATGAGCCAGCAAACCAATCAAGTTATTTAGTTTATTTCTTATTAAAAACATTATTTTGAATTAAATACCTTATTTCCATCTCAATACTTCATTCGTAGTTAATGCGCTACTACATTTTTTACTTAAACAACTTAAACAATTACTACATTGTTTAAGTTTTTTTCTTCGCGAAAAAAACCCGAAGAATAAACTTAAACAGACCATAGCCAGTTTACTGTAGGTAGGAAGTTAGAGAGCTGTAGTCTAAACGACCAGAAACCAACAGGAATGACGATTACATGATGGTTCATTCAATTTTTTGGTATGATCTGTTGTATAATATGGCAAAATAAAATGTAACTTATATGTACGTACATGTAGATGCTATATCGTTTACAATTGAAATGTATAGATATTATTACTTAAGTACAAATAAGTACAATACATACAGATACACACACATACGTACGTATATATACATATCGTACATATTATACAAACACACACACACACACACACACACACATATATATATATGTATACACACAAACACACACACACACTTCTTAAACACGTAGTTTGTGGTTATCTTTGTCTCGTATCGATCGATTGATTGATCGTCCCTTTTGTAGTACTATGTTGATCAGGTGCCTTGTAACTATGGTGACCTCCTTATAACCAAAACGTTCATTTGGACTTAGCATTAGATCAGAAAGTAGTTCAGTGAAATTTAGTTGGTCTATAATACAAAATTGACTAAATACCTTTGGAAAACATTTAGAATTTAACGAATAATATTTTTTGAGCTAATTTCGGTTTTAATATTTAATATTTTTGAATTAATTTTGAATATAATTAGCAATTCTTTTTTGGGTTAATTTGAAAAATGTCCGCTGAGCGTCTGTACAGAACTGAAGAGGAAGTCAGGCAAGCGCGGATAGAATACTGCAAGAAATCGTCAAAATTCATCCTGACGAATGTGGGTCTCGGGGTGGTTGTGATCGTCTACACAGTGATTGGGGCTATCGCATTCATGAACCTCGAACAAACGAACGAGAAAAAGCACTGCATTGAGAAGATGAACACCTACGATAAGCAGCAGAACGAGTCCGTCCAAAGTCTCCTATCCATTGCCCAGACCTCCAAAAAGAAAGACGAGGCGATTTTTTTTATCACAGAAACCATCGAAACGTTTCGAACAAATGCAGTGAAGATTAAGTATGATAATAAGAATTGCACCATGATGGGGGTTGAAGGCGGGCCCGAGTATGGGTGGTCATGGAGTGGGGCCCTGTTGTTCTGTGTTACTGTCTACACGACCGTAGGTGAGATTTATTTTTAAGCTTATTTGTTTTAAATAAAATGGCTATTCTATTTTTTAAAAAATGTTTCCAATAAAAAATACAAAATTTATATAAAAAGATTTTTTTGTAGTTTGCTTGAAATAAATTTTTTCCAGTGTGAACTACTTTTTGGCAAGTTTGATAAAAATAAATTTGAATAAAAATAGTAAGCTTTTAAATCAATTTTTAAAGGATTATAAATAATATAATTTTGAAACTTTTAAGGTTGTGAGAAAACGAGAAGTATTTCAGTTTAAAGATTTAAAATAGTTTATTACTTCTAAAATAACAACCTAATCACCCCTCTCTCTCTCTCCTCTCTTTTCTCTCTCTCTCTCTTTCAGTCTAATGAGGTAGAACTCAGTACCACTTGCGGACTAGTGAATTTGAACCTGGTCATTTCCACTCCATCCCGCTGAATAATTAAAACTTTACTCACGAAATGAAACAATTTTTGTAAATTATTAACATTGTGAAAATAACTTACTTCCAGGATACGGAAACATCACACCGCAGACATTTCACGGTCGATTAGTTTGCATTATATATGCTCTAATTGGGATTCCATTGATGCTCGTGTTTTTGGCAAACATCGGCGGGGTAATGGCAGACGTCTTTCGATTTGTTTACACAAAAGCTTGCTGCTGTGGTTGCATCAGACCCAAACCTGAACTCAATTCGAACGGAACTTCGGAACCTGAAAACCCCGATGAATATGCAGACGACGAGGAAGAGGAATTGTTGAGCGTTCCTATCACGGTGACATTAGCCATGGTGGCGGGTTACATAATAATGGGTGCAGCTTTGTTTAGCGCTTGGGAGAAGTGGGATTGGCTCAAATCTTCTTACTACTGTTTCATCACCATAACTACGATTGGATTTGGAGACATCGTGCCAGGAAGTACAAGTACAGATAGTTTTAGTGGTCAGTTGAAAATGATTGGTGCTGCTGTCTACATGGTGTTTGGCATGGCTATAATGTCTATGGCGTTTAATTTGATTCAAGAAGAAATGGTGGGAAAATTTTCATGGATTTCTGACAAATTCGGTAACATCTTTTATATTTCTACTTTTCGTTGTTAATTGTAATTAATTGTGTGAAATTTGTGCGCAGGTTTGACAAGAGCGGTTGATTACGACAACTCCGTAACGGCGGAACAAACAACCAGCGTAATTTCCGACCCGAAAAAAAGGAATTCGTATATGATAGCGTCCCCGGTGGAAGCCCCCTACCCCGTTTATAAGACATCCGACTCTCGGTCCGATAGTCTGAAGCACATGTTCAGGGAGCCATCCTCCTTAACTAACTGGGCTACTGCGGCTATCACGCAGAATTCCAAGAACAAAACCGTCAAAACGTTTAGAAATGTGTAATGCTGATTTGTGTTTTTGTCTGAGTAATAAATGAAAAACTCGTTTCATTGTTAATTTTAATACTCTTTCGTCGGTTATGAATTATATTAATTGTGTGTAGATCACGGAACAATTATTAAATTTTATAACATTTTATTTGAATTCAGAACTACATATTTTAAAATTATTATTTAGGTATTCACGTTGCTGACAATTCAATCTGCGTTTAACTATTAAAACATAGATGCTAAAATTTATGATGAACGCGTGTTTTGCCTTTCCACGTTAAATAACATTGAGAAACCAAATTCAATAGATTAAGCTTCCACACGAGAAGAAATAATTCGAAGTTAAAATGAAATTATTCATTATTTTACTACCTATTATTACGATGATCATTATTACATATATATTAAATAACAAAATATTGAATAACACCTCATTAAATCAGCAAGGGGACTGGAATGAAAGCGTTTAAGACTGACCGATGACGTAGACAAAGACTTCTCTAATCTACAACTGTCTCGTTCTTGCTCTTTTGTTCCTACACTCTTACGTTAAATCTGCTTTAATTTATTCTTGTCATTTTCTCCGGAACTCTCTACCTCTTTCTACAATTACTCTCCATCACTTACGAAGATCAGAGAGGATCTCAATACTTAACTTTGTAAAATCCATTGAAGAATATTTGAACATTGCAGAAACGTCGCTTTAAAATTATATTAACGAATTGTAGATTCCAAATGGAAATTGTAAATAAGACGGCTTTCCATAGTTAAAATACTTTTGTTTCTTTTGTTTGTTTTTATTTAATATGGCAGCGTAAATAAATAAAGTTGTACGTTCCTAGTTCGATTTGAGGTTTTTACTTTAAAAATTGTTAATTTGCAGTTTTAAAGTTGAAATCGAAACTTTTGATGAATAATTTTCCGTTCGATTGATCCGCATGTTCCTTTATAAGGTGGGCTAGTGATTATCTGGCAAATTAATAATAAAATAAATAGCTTTTATTTACTTGTTTACTTACTACGCTCACTGACTCTTTTACATTACACTGTTACGTTACTCTTCTTACTACTTTACTACACTTTTACACTTTGCAGTGTAAAAATTGTAAAAAAAATAAACTTTAATTTAAATTTATCTTTAAAAATTTAAATTTTAATAATTTTAAAATGACGGTTGAATTTCACTTTTTTGTTTAAAAAGTAAGATTCAATTTTATGTGTAAATGTAATTCATCTTTTAATTTTAGTTCATTTTTAAAATTTTTAACTTAGTTCTTAATTTTATTGTAGAGTTTCGTTTTAGCCTTTACAATAAAAGTTTTACTCAGTTAGCCTTAGCTAAAGTTTAGTTCAGTTGTAGTTCTGGGCAGGTAGATAGAGATTGATTATCATTATATATATAATATTATAATATAGCGTTAAAAGAATTGTCATGTCATCTTATTTACTTTACTTATTTAACCATTAAATTTCAAAAAAATTTCACAGGTGAATTTAAATTAAAAAAAAACTTCACCAACATAATCAGCATCAAAAGAATGGGTTCCACAAAGAAACACAAGAAAGACAGAGACAGCAATAATGAGGAAAGGAATCACAAACACAAAAGACGACGATCAAGGACGCCACGAGAAGAGAGCAGACAAAAAGAACAAGATGTCAAAGTTCAAATTTTTTTTATTTAAATTAATTTTATTAAACTATATTTATATTAATAAATTATTAAAACTTATTAACTTCGATCTTTTATTTATTCTTCGGGTAACTTTTAAAAAAAAAATATTTTTGAAAATTTAATTAATTTATTTTATGTTTCCAGAAAGAATCCCCCGAGATCGAGCAGGGACACGAAAAGTTGTCGCTGAGCATTGAAGAGACGAATAAACTCAGAGCCAAATTAGGTCTTAAGCTTCTGGAGTTGGATGACAACAAAAGTGATAAAAAGAGTGAGGAAAAGAAAGATGTCCATGTCCCAGCGCACAACATTGCCGACCTGAAAAGGACCGAAGAGATTAGAGAAAGATTGAAACAGGCCAAAGAAAAGAGAAGAATTGATAATTCTATGGCAAAGGTTTATTGCTTTTTTGGTTCTTCGTTTTTCCTCATTTCTCTCATAAATACTTCAAGGCTGAACTTAATCTATTCCTGTTGGAACTTTTATTTTTTATAGTTCTACAAAGAATTTAAAACATTCATCCTATTACTAATGATGTAAAAGCAAACTTAAATTGAAAATTGTTATTTGTATGTGGCGGGGTTTTATATTTGTATGATTTAATTTTAATAATACCGCTGATGTTTGATTTATGATCTCACACTTAACTTGTCACCCAATGTCATTAATGCATAACTTGTTATATATTTTACTGAAACAATTCAAGTGGTATTTTGATTTCAACTAATTGACCTCTTGTAAGATGTTAGGGAAAAATGATTTTTGTCTAAAAGTTCTTTCTGGCTAGCATTTAATTTGTATTCAGTTTTACTTTATATTGGATCTCAGAAGTATAGCACAGAAGATAGTTAAAGGTTCATTCTTTGCTTTGATGATTTTCCAATTTCAGTTAATGTAATGAAATATTAAAACAAGTGAATTAATTTAATCTATTTCTTTATGTAACTTTCTCACCCATCCAGATCAAACCTCTGACAGAAGATGGTGATGAATCAGTACTGGCTTGGGTTGAGAAGAGTCGAAGGTTGGACCAAGAGAGAAAGCAGGCAGATGAAAGAGCAAAGATGCTGGACGAGATGGATAAAGATTTTGGGGTTGATGATTTGATTAAAAGTGAATTCAACAAAATTTCAGCTCGGAAACAGTATCGGTCGAAGGATCTGCAAGGCCTGAAGATAGAACACAGTGATGGTAACTTTAAGGAGAATAAGGAAGTCATTCTGACACTGAAGGATAAGTTGATATTGGATGAAGATGATGAAGATGTTCTCATTAATGTCAATATGGTTGACGATGAGAAGGCCGCAAAGAATGTTGAAAACAAGAAAGCCAGACCGACATACAATCCTTACGACGAACCAGAATATGATGAATTTGGTAATATCAAGCAGAAAGAACTTCTTGACAAATACGATGAAGAAATCTATGGCGCCAAGAAAACATTCATTACCATCGATAATTCGGGCAAGATTGACAACAGTTGGAAAGAGAAGATGGCTTGTGAGGCCGAATCGTCCAGGTTGGATAAAATTAAAGATAATCTGATCTTGAAGAAACCCATCATTGCCAGTGAATATTACACGGCTGCAGAGATGGAATCATTCAAGAAACCATCGAAGAAGGTTCGAAAGTTGAGGAAGAGAGCAAAATTAACGGCAGATGATTTGCTGGCTGATGAAATGGAACATACAAAAATGAAGTCTGAGATTGGCGCCCCTGCCATTAAAAAACAAAAAATACCTGGATTGGATTCGGTGAATATTGGATTGATGGAAGATGATGAGGACGATATTCTCGGTCCTGATGACGACCTCAGTGGTGTCGTCATTGAAGAGGACACAGCTCAACTGGAATTGGAACTTGCCATTGAAAAGGCTAGAAAACTCAAAACTCAGAAGTCCGCCACCTCCCTGCTGGATATCGTGAGCGTTATCAAATCCGAAGTCACCGAAGAAAGTTCGACCAAGGATAAAACGTACAAGCCCAGTTCCTTTGATTATGGAAGCAGTGCGGTTGTTATGAATTCCACAGCAGAGTTCTGTCGTTCATTGGGTGATCTGCCACAATCAGCCATGAGTTCATTGAAGAAGAACGATGAAGACGATGAGGACAACATGGATGATGACGATGAGTTCAGAGGAAAGGGGTGGCAGTCTGTGGAAATTGATGAGAAACCAGTCAATTTGAAAGAACAGGAAGTACACGTTCTCGATGAAGAGCCAATCGTAAATCAGGGCATTGGGGCTGCTCTGAAGTTAGCCTCAAAGAAAGGTTATTTGGACTCAATCGTCAATAAGCAAATCAGTGCACCGAGACATTCAAAATTAGAGGCACAAAATTATTCAATAGAAGACAAGAGGATGGACGACCTGGATGACAAATACAGTCGCAAGAGAGATCGATACTCAGGTAGTGGTCCTGTAGTTGAGTTCAAAGAAAAAGACGGCTACAGACCAGAAATCAAGTTGGAGTATGTCGATGATGCCGGCAAAGAAATGTCCAAGAAGGAAGCATTCAGATATCTATCTCACAAATTTCACGGGAAGGGATCAGGGAAGAAAAAGTTGGAGAAGAGGATGAAGAAGGCAGAAGATGACGTCCTGATGAGGATGATGAGCTCTACTGACACGCCCCTCAACACTCTGCAACTGTTGCAGGAGAGACAGAAGGTAGACAAAGTGCCATACATAATCCTCAGTGGAACAAAGGGACTCACCTCGAGCATCATAACTAAAACCTAACTTTGTTGGATCATATATCTAGATACACGAATGCTATTATCTCATTTGACATTTATATTTTAAAACATAGTTAACAGTGGTCCATGTGATTTTTCCTCATAAATATTTTGTTGATTCTAAAAATAAATGCAGTCAGATTTGCTTATCAGTTGTGTTGAATCTTAAATTTGAATGTTGAATAAAAAAAAAGATGAACAGTGAAACAAAGACATTGTTAGACATTTTGTACCATAGTTTTACAATGTGTGATCTGTACTGCATGTTCTTTGATGCTATCATATAATATTAACACTACTTTATAATCTTTATCAAAAGGACGAGTGCAAACAATTCAAAGTTATGCATTTAAGAAAAACGTCATAATACAAATATTTAGAAACAGTTTAACTCTAAAAATTGAAACACAAAATTAGTTTATTTCTTTAATTTTGTATGAATGGAATGGATGGAGTATGAAAAAAATACGTAAAAAAGAACTGTTATGTGTGGTGTATTTTATAGGATCCAACAATTTGCAACATGCATATTTATCATCTGCCTGTCAGGGGTTTTTGACGTTTGGCAGGTAGCAGAACCATGAAGTAAAAGAATCGTGTTTCTATAATTCCATGACTTACTTTTTATCTGGTGGAATAAATTGTTTTAAAAGAATCAAAATAATATTTTTTTCGTTTTATATCACTAAAATTTGAGATTGTAATTTGAGTTTCCATTCATTATAACTTTAAAAGTTTAAAGTTTGAAAAATTAAGAAATAGTTACTTTTTTTTACATTTTTTCTCATTAAGAAAATAATTATCTTCTGCTGGCCTTTTGTTTGTTTTTATTGTTAGGAAATCAAATGATTTAAATATTTTAATGTGAATAACGGAAACATTCCTGTTTAATTTTTCGCTTTTAGTTTCATCATTGAGGCACTGCATGTCGTCCACTACATTCATTGTATCTGTAGTCGCTGATAACTTCAAAACGGGGGAGCATTCCTGCTCTAACTCTAGGGCCAAACTGACGGCCTTTTCCACGGCTATACCTAAACCATGTAGATGTATTTCGTCGTGTTTTTCCAGTAAACTTTTACAACGATTGAACTGGGCCTTCATGTTCGTTTTAACGTTGATGTAGACGTCGTTTTTTCTCGTGAAAGATTTAAATGGCGCTTCTTTTTTGAGTTCATACTCTTCAACTTCGTCATCTTCCTCTTTAGCCGTTTTAGCTTCAGCTTCGCTCATTTTTCTAAATTATTTTAACTTTAATTTGTAAAAAATATAAATAAATAAATTGCCGGGAGAACGTGCAAAAAATGTGGGTTTTATGTGTGTGGTTGGATAGTTATACAAAGAACAGGTATGTGTGGAGTGTCATTACAATTTTGTAGTTTTAAAAACAAAATTTAAGTTTGATTTAAATTTTAAATATATTTTAATTATTTAAAAAAAAACTCATTATTTTAGCACATTATTTTGTTAAAAATACGTTTATATTTGTTTCTAAATTTTACTAAATTGAATATAATATAAACTTTTTAATATTCAGTAATGTAACTTTAGCGATGTTTTAAAATATTTTTGGTGTTTCATATAAAAAAATAATATTATTTCGATGTTATTATGTTTAAAAGTGACAGTCCTAACAATCTAGTTTTGTAAATGTAATTAATAATATTTATCTTTTTATCAACATTTTCTATAAATTTTTCGAATAAAATACGGAAGAGATTTTTTAATTTTACTTCAAAAATCACATTTTTGTGTCGCGTGAAATTTCGGGTCGTCACCCAGACTCAGTCGCCAGTACAGTACCCACTACACTACCAGTATCACACCAGAACCAGTACTTTATTACTACAATTACATTTTTAAATTTAATTATCTAACTAATTAATATTTTTATGACATTTTTTTATATTTTCAAAAATTTTTTTCTTGATTTGATTATTCATTATTTTATTATTCTAATCTGCTCGTGCCCCTTTCTTTTTTCATATATCTCCATATCTTGTTCTCTTGCATTGGCTACCTATAAAGTATAAAATATAGAATAATTTTTAAAATTTGCACGTTTATGTATTAATAATTAATTGAACCTAAATGCCCGGTTTACGATCATCTTCTTGTTCTGGCTTCTTCTTAACTTGTGTTAAACACTCTTTTGCCAAATCCGCTTTTGCTTTTTCTGGCCCTTTTTTCTGGAACTCTCTACCTACTTCTTTGACTACTTCTCCATCACTTACGAAGTTCAAAGCGGATCTCAAGACTCATCTGTTTTCAAAATTTACTGAAGAGCGTTGTTGAACATTGCGGAAATAGCGCTTTACAAGCTAATTGATTGATTGAATTTCCATCAATTTGTATCATTTATTTATTTATAATATAAATAATATATTATATGATGATTACATGTTAATTACTTTACTCATTCTCATTCATCCATTATATTGTTACATGAATTACTTTATTTATTAATATGTATAACTATATATGTTTATATATAATATATATACATGATTATATATATTATATATTATATTATATATATATATGATTTTAAAAGATTTTCCTTATTACATATTAATGACATGTTATTTTAAATATAAATCTAAATTACATTTTGCAATTTCAAATTTATTTTCAAGATAAAAATGGACATTCAAATCAAAAGTGAATTGGTGGAAGCCACTGAAGAAAACTGTGACAATGACCAGGATGTTCAATTTCTTAGTGAAGAAAACCAGCTAACTATGAACTACCTATCGGGAAGAGTGACTTTCGAAGAGTACCAACATTATTTTGAAAAGGATATCAAAGAAGAATGCAATGATTCTGTAGCAGACGAGTCTGTTGAAGGCAGACCTCCTCCAGAAAGAACCAGAAGGCCTCCTCAGAAACTTAAAAGAGTTCTAGCAGGTTTGATGGGAGAGGCCAACATGAAATATGCTTCAGGAATGTTCGAAGAGGCAGTTAAGATAAGTATGGAAGTGATTTGCAATGCTCCAAATGCTCCAGATCCGTACCACCTCTTGTCCATGATATATGATGATTTGGGCCAGTTAGATAAAAGCTTGCAGCACAGTTTAGTAGCTGCACAGTTGTCAAAAGGTAATGTTGAGGAATGGCTTTCGGTTGCTGATAAGGCCATTGCCTTGAACAATCTGAAACTAGCTGTCTTTTGTTACGAAAGAGCTTGCAAGTTTGATTTGTCTAATGAAAAGTTGTGGAAAGATAAATGTGAACTGATGGAGAGGGCTTCGTGTGAGAAGAAAAAAATATTGGACTCCTACAAGCATTTGATAGGTTTGATGAGGCCAAGTTCTATTTTTATAGATCTTGTAAGGAGAACCTTTAATGAATATCACACTTTAGGGGAGGATAAAAAGGCAGCAGAAGTTATGCGCATTGCTCTCAACAACTACCCTTGGCTGGTCACTCCATCTGATATAAATTTATTGATTGATGTTTATTTCTTGGATAAAAATTATGTAGATTCATTAAGCTTACTTGAAAAACATTGTGGGGTGAATATAACGAGATCAAACGATTCTATCAGCGAAGTCGTTACTAATAATCTTCCGGTTGATCTACTCGCCAAACTTCTCATCTGCCTGATACACCTGAAGGAATGTAATGTTCTCGAACCTAACCTGACGAGTTTATGTTCAGAAAATTGTGATGAGGTGGGTGACTTGTTCCTCGATGTTTCGGAAGCGTTCATTGCGGAGAAGGATTACGCCCATGCAGAAAGATTATTAAAGTTGTTGTTGAATTCGCAGAACTATAACCTGGCGGCAGTGTGGCTGAGGTTTGCAGAGTGTTTGAAGTTTCTGAATAAATCTGATGAAGCTATCTTAGCCTTTTCAAAAGTTGTCGAAATGGCGTCAGATCACATCGAAGCAAGGATGTGCCTGTCAAATTTATACCAGCAACTTGGTCGTTACGACGAAGCCATTTACGTCCTTCAACCTATTTCAAACTGTGGGGATCTCTCTGATTGCCACCTACAATTGCTTCTTAAGAAATGTAATGTTCTTCATCAGCAAAACAAGATTCTTGACTTTGTGGATTTTGCATTTAAAGTGTTGAAGATGTGCGCAGAACAAATTTTTGTACAGAAGTGTCATACAGAAGTTAGCAATCGAGTTGTTTGCATCAGACAGCTAGCCTACCACCACGCTCTTAATTTAATTGATAAGAGTTGTGAACTGAAAGAGATTGCATCCTTGTCTCAGTTGAGTAACGAAATTTGGGATCTGTTCATGAAACTCTGTGAGGAGCTATGCAGATTGAAACTTTATGAAAAGTTGGATAAGATATGCACGCTGATGGTTATCTGCCCAGTGTTCCTACACGATACCGTCAGGTCTCAGGAGTTGGAGTTCATGTGTCTCATATCTGGTCTGCTAAGCAGAAATGCTTACTTTGCTTATTCTATAATAAGACATAAATTAATTAAAGTCTTGGACGACAATAACGCTTGGAACATTTTCGGTCAAGTCATTGCGGTTTCTCAAGATATTAGACACAACAGATTTTGCATCAGATTCGCCATGAAACACCCGAATAATGTGGCTCTCTGCATCTTAAATGGTCACAACGCTTTAGCCGCTGGTTCTTACAAACACTCTCTGGGTGAATACTTTGCTTGTCTGAAGTCAGATCCCAAGAACCCTTTTTACTACATGGTCATCGGGATTACGTACGTGCATTTGGTGTCGCAGAAATTTTCGTCACACAGACACATGCTAACCGTGCAGGCATGCGCGTTCCTATTTAATTATTTGAAGTTGAGAGGGGAATGTCAAGAATCGTTTTATAACATCGGGAGGGCAATGCATCAAATAGGCTTGCAGTTCTTGGCCGTCGGGTTCTACGAGAGAGCCTTGAAATGCAGACCAGCTGTCGACAGTCCTGATTTTGATCTGACCCGCGAAATCGCTTTCAATTTGTACATTATCTACATGTCTACCAAATCTTATCAATTAGCTTCTTACATTTTAGAAAAATATTTACAAATATAATCTCTAAACTTTCTTATGTTGTTTATTTTTTTTTTATATAACTGGTTTCTTGCGTTAATTAATGATAAAATTTGATTTGTAACATTGCACAATTTATTAACAAACATATTTGCTAAAGAATCCAATAATTTTAAGCAGTAAAGAATAAATGGCATGTGATGGATAGGTTAGATAGCGTTGCTGTCATGTGGTTCTTTTATACTCTGCTAGTCCTTCTATTGATGTATTTCTTTCTTTTGTAGTTGTCGGGTTTTTTGTTCTGTCTCAGCCAGTGCATATTCAACAATTCTCTCTTCCTTAAGGCGTTTCTTTTTACGTTCTGACTGGACTTTAATGTTGTGTATAGAATTTGAAGTTTTCCTAAAATTTGTGGAGATTTGGGTTTGAATTGTAGTAAAATTTTATTCTGGCTTGATGTCACCCTGTTGATCTGGAAAGAAAGTTTTTAACAATTTGTCAACAACTCGTATAACAAAATTATTAAAAATTGAACTTTCGTGAATGCGACGTACCTTTTTGTCGCAGGTGTTGGATAGCTGAGTGTCGTTCGTGCCTGGTCCGTCGTAAATTTTAAAATGCTTCATTCTGTTGGTTGAATGATGCAGTGATGATATTGATGCTGTGCAAATATTGAGGATGAGATCTCATTAATTAAGACGTCGAATTCCTAAATTTTGAGTTCGTTTTTATTAACGAAATCAAATTTTAGGAATAACTAAGTTAAGAACGAAGAACCATTAAGAACCATGTTAGACGAATGAATGGCGAACCAACCCGCATTTGGAGACGCCGTCACTGTCGATGGCATTGATCAGCAGAGTTATTTTCAATTTATTCTTTGACTGGATCAGCCACTCACACTCCGGCTGGTCGTCCGAGTTTTCTGTGCTGGGTGGCAAAAAGGAAAATAACCGCACTGACCCGTCGGCTTCAACCATTCCACCACACACTGAAAAATTGTTTTGCTGGTGTTACTGCGATGAACAAATGCAATCTCGGTGTTATTCAGATTTTATTTTAGATCTTCCGGGCGGGCTCAGAAATTTAAACGAACGACTGAGTCCTAAGATACAAAATAATATTAGAAGATATCAACGTTGCTATGCCTTGGGATATATCGAAACGGAATGTGAAACTGTTTTCGCTAATTTTTAATGTACCAGTTACAAAAATGTGCGTGTGGAGTTTTGATGTTTTATAATTCAATATAAATGGTTTTGAGATTTTAATGTAATTGAAATCATCGTAATTGGTTTACGTAAAACTTGACAACCTGTTGAAACTGCTGCTTCCAAAGCGAGTTGGTCGCTGCTGTTACCCTCACTGGCGGTGTTCGGTTTAAACTTCATGAATAGAATGTTACTTGACGAGAGAATTAGTTGGGGGCATTGTTCTTTGTTGTTGTTGGGTGGAGTGACGTTTGATTCCAACTTTGGATATGTCTCGTCTGGTCCGTCGTAAGTCTTGGGCAGATTGCTCGAGCAGGTCAGGTTGGACTTTTTCTCCGCATCCATGTAATTCTTTCAGAAATAATTTGAAGTAAACGAAAAAATAAATTTACGTCCGATTAAATACTGAATATGATGTAAGAAGCTCTAGGCTCGTCGGAGCAGCATTAACAAATATTCAAATGAACTTTTTAAATGACTTCAAATAAATTTAAAACATTCGCTGAAAGCTTATGCATCCATAATAAACATTGTTACTACATTGTACAATAACACTACATAATTGACATAACACATTCTGTAATTTAATTTAACTGGAGCGTACGATTTGAATCCTCTTCCCGACATCAGCCCGTAGCAGCCAAGTACATTCAGTGTTGGAATCCGACTGATTGTTGAAGCTTATTACCTCGGAAGGGTTCGTTATTTCCCGGTGGCATTGTCCTGAAAATTGAATTCAAACGCTTGTAAAATGTGATTTAAATAGTTTCCTTTCAAGATTCCATATTGAACATTTATTTCTTTCCAATTTGACAATATCTTCTTTTCAAGCAGTGATTTTTAAACATTAAAGAGTTTAAGAAATTTGATCAGCTTGGAACATTTTTCAACTTTTAACTTGATAAACTGTCATTATTGTTTAGTGAATCGTCTCCGGGTGGGTTTCCTTTCTTATTTCTAATTCCTCAGAGATATAAACTGTTTCATTTTAATTGCCAAAGGTGGCTAAGCACAAATTCTTTGATATTATTCGATTTGGTTTTTTATACAATAAAAAAAAATGCAAATATGAAATACAAATTTCAAATTAACCGTTACAACTGCGCCGATTTGTGTTTAGTGTGAATCCGTCTCGACACTCGCACCTGTAACTCCCTGGCGTTTTGATGCAAACTTGTTCGCAACCTCCATTCATGTCTGAACACTCGTTGTACTCTGCGTGTTTATGTGTGTGTGTATATGTGTGTGTGTATATGTGTTTGTGTGTGTTTGTTTGTGTGTGTATGTGTGTTTGTTTGTGTGTGTTTGTTTGTGTATGTGTGTTTGTGTGTGTATATGTCAAAAAGTTTTGGAAGGTTTTACTTGAAGTGAAGTAATGCCAACTCATTTTTTTTTCTTTCGTAAAAAACGACAATTCAATTAAAATTAACTTCTAGTTCAAATTTTCTTTAAATTTCTGAAAAAAATCATCTATTTGAAAAACCAGGATTATATTATATATACATCCGCAACAAACAAGACACGAATGAAAGCAATTGAATATTTCATTGAAAAATTAATTCTCTTGAATCGATCGAAAACATAGACTAAATTGCTTAATTATTATTTTTGGAGAGGCCCAGTTTTGTGGAAGCCCTCCTGTCCTGTCATAATACCGTCTCGGCTTGAAACAAACAAGCAAACATACAAACAAACAAACAAACGGACACACAAACAAACAAACAAACGGACACACAAACAAACCCATAGAATAAGAAAGCAGGAATCCTTGCTTATTGATGGAGTCATCGCTACTGAAGATCAACTGGACGGCACTGTCTTCGGAGATGATGGGGGCTGGAGGGCTGGAACCACAGAAGACTCCTAGATCCTTTTCGCCACTCAAAATCTTCAGGGAGTCGTGACATTCTTTCTATCAAGATGAATGAGTGTGTGAGTGAATGAAGGAATGAGTGGACAAATAAATGAATGAGTGATTAAGTGAAAGAATGAATGAATGAATGAATGAAGGAGTGAGTGAGTGAGTGAATAAATAAATTTTTTCATTAAAATCTGTCCTAATTCAAGTATTCTATGTTATTTTATTTATTCTTCACTTTGAAGGAATTTGACATTGAACTGCAATACCTACACACACACACGCACGCACAAACACACACAAACAAATAGACAAACACAAACAAACACACACAAACAAACACACATACGTATTTATATATATACATACATAGGCCGCCGACAAATATTCTTTTGAAAAATGATCACATTACAGAAGACAGTCTTGGAATGATTTAAATGAGAAATTACGGTAAGTATGAGGCTTGTTGAAGCTGCTAGTTCGAAGTTATCGAGTATTTAGGGTATGGTTAGTTTATGTTTATGATATGTGTGTGTGTATGTGTGTATGTGTGTATGTATTGATATGTGTGTGTATGTGTGTATATGTATGTATTTATGTGTATGGGTATGTGTGTGTGTGTGTGTGTATGTATGTATTTATGTCTATGTGTATGTATTTATGGTTGTGTATGTATTTATGTGTATGGGTATGTGTGTGTATGTATTTATGTGTGTGTGTGTGTGTGAATGTATTTGTGTGTGTATATGTATGTGTGTGTATTTATATTTATGGGTGTGTGTGTGTATAAATATATGTATGTATTTGTGTGTGTGTGTGTGTTTCTTCCACATGTGCTTCATATAGAGGACGAAATGTTGTTGTTATTGTTACAAAGTTCAGCGCGTCGCCGTACCATGCAACAAACTTTTACAACAACACTCTTCTTATGTGTATTTATCGAGTTGTTAATTGTTTATATAACAATTTAGCATTTGAAATTTTTATCTCCCAACAACTTAATTATCATTTTATTATCATTAATTTCGCCTTAATTGGACACTCATGCCCACAACTTTACACGCGCGCGCACACACGCGCACAGACACGCACACGCACACACACACTGTTACAGAGTCTTAGTGAATATGCGGAAAACCCACGCAACCAACAAAATCTCTGTCAGTCACAGCAGCACAAATGACATGATTCGATCGATAGATTAAATGAATGATTGATTGAATGATTGATTGATTGATGGAATGAATGACTGATTGAATGAAAGATTGATTGATTGACAGACTGTCCACCAACTGATTGATTGATTGATTGATTGAAAGATGGGTTAGAAGTAGTACCAACATCATTTCCTTCGATTTCCAGTGTATCGATGACGATGGATATCACGTGATTCTTAGGGACGGAAATGAGCCAGGAGCAGTTTTTGTTAGGGGGGTACTGGCCGGGGTAGGAGGGGCTTGATATTGTCCCTGTGTTGTTGCTCAATTCCATCTCGCAGTCCTTCTTGGCTGAAAGATCAATCAGTCAGTCAATCAATCAACCAACCAATCAACCATCAGCTCAACAGCAACTTTTCTGTTAACCAGTTAATTTTCTTACTAGTCAGCTCATTTCTCCGATAATCAGTTCAGTTTTATTTTATAAATCTTCAAGAGTACCATAAAATTTGAAACCTTCACAAATTTTTAAAATGAAGTTACGCTGGGGATTGCAGAGTTTAACTGAAATTTGTTAAGCTACATATGGATGAACGCTGATGGTGTTGGTACCGTCAGGAAGCTAAGTTTGGCATATACAGAACTATGTATATCTCCCTCTACATGTCACTTGTTTACCAACTTGGGAATAACTTTAATCTAATTAACATTTTCATCTGCTTGTTTATAAATCTTAGATATTATTAATTGACCGATTAATTTGGTTTAATGTACTAAATAATCGACCGATCGAAACCGATAAATTAATCGACCGACCGACTTACCGATGCATGATCGGCCATCACTTGCGAGTTCGAACCCATCGCTGCACTGGCACCGGTAGCTGCCGATCGTGTTAACGCACGTCTGCTGGCACTGGTGGTCGCTGGTTTCGCATTCGTTTTTTTCTTCATTCATGGATGAATTCGTGATTGAATGGGTGGATGAATGGGTGGATGAATGGGTGGATGAATGGGTGGATGAATGGGTGGATGAATGAGTGAGTGAATGAGTGTTTGGGTGAGTGAATGAGCAAATAAGTGAATGAATCAATGAGTGAATAAATTAATTAGTGAATGAATGATTAAATAATGGAAGTATGAGTAAAAGAATAAACTGGTGAATTAACGAGTAAATGAATGAACAAGTGAATGAATTAGTGAAAGTAAAATGAATGAATGGATATAAATATAAATGAAATAAATTAAAACACAAATGAATTTAGATCTTTTAAGTTACAGCAGGGTAAACCCCGTCAAAGCACCCTAAACCGTCATAAACAACACCAACCATCAGCAAACTTCAAAATTTGAGCAAGCAAACGATTGTTAATTTATTCATCGACTCTTCATTCTAAATTTTGCAGTGTCTGTTTAATTCGCATCAGCTGCAACAGCCATAAATCAATGGAAACCACATAATTTACTTAATTTTTGTGAACTTTTCAACTCCACAAAACACATTTCTATTTAGTTACTTAGTATTCTGCATTCTAAAAACTCCATAAAACATTATCTCCCTACATTCTGTATTCTTCTAGTATTCTGCATGCCGAAAATCCAAACCAACCTTTTTGAAACTGAGCCAGAAATCCCGTCTTAACTTCTGAATAATCTGAGACGAATTTGACGAGGATTTTGTTGGCGGTGGACTGCAAGCTGGCCGGGGTGACCACTCCACAGAATTTTCCCAGCAGAGGCGCCTTATCGTCGCCGCCGTCGTACACTTCCAAAAAGTCGCACGCGCAGGCTTGGTGCCTTTCCAGCTGTCGTTCGGTCAGAAGGGTAAAATGGCATAGAAAAGAAGTAGTTTTTCACACGCACGCACACACACGCACGCACGCACGCACACACACATTCTTTAAAACATCTTTACTAATCTTCGTAAATTAAACAAAAAAAAAATTAAAATTTATGAAAAAATTTCTCTAAACCTCAAAGGCCTTAAACGTGAGACCGACTGAATAATTTTCAGCAACCTCGATGATCCAGGAGCATTTAAGAGAAGTGGAGTACTTTTCCGGATGTTGGGGACTGCTGAACTCCCCGAAATCTTTCTTTATGTGCCCGCCACAGGTTTCTAGGAGTCGGTTTATTTATTCGGATGTATATTTATTAGTTTTAGTTGACTGTTTCATTTGCTTTTCATTGTGGTTTATTCATTGGTATTCATTCGTTCATTATTTAATTTAATCGTTCATTCACATACACACACACAAACAAACACACACACATACACGCACTCATATACACACAGAGAAAAACTTGTTACTGATTAAGAAAACAGAGAAAAAACAATTTATGCACACACACACACACACACACACACAAACACACAGACATCACACAGACACACATACACCCAGACACACACACACAAACCCAGACACACACACAAACACACAGACACCACACAGACACACACACAGACACACATACACCCAGACACAGACAGACACACACACATACACACACACACCCAGACACCCAGACACACACACAAACACACAGACACTACACAGACACACACACACACACAAACACCACACAGACACACATACACACAAATAGACACACACACAGACACACATACATACTATGATATTTAGCATAGAATCCAGGTTGCCTCTCCATGTAGCCAGAGAGCAAGCGATACTCCAGCCACATCTTCTGTTTCGTTGACGTCAAAACTAACTCACTGTCATTACGGCCGCAAACTTTACCTGTTGGAAAATGAAAATTTTAGTAGTTGAAGCCGTGTACTATCCTACCTGTTAACGTGTTTGTATCACGAATTCCTTTTGAGTTAGCAAAGTTAATGTGTTTGTATCATAAAATTCATTCCAAGTTAGCAAAGCTTTGTATTGTTAATGTGTTTTTGTTATAAAATTCATTCCAAGTTAGCAAAGAAATGTACTTTTAATGTGTTTGTATCATAAAATTCATTCCAAGTTAGCAAAACTTTGTAGTGTTTTTATCATAAAATTCATTTCGAGTTAGCAAAGCTTTGTACTGTTTATGTGTTTTTATCATAAAATTCATTTCGAGTTAGCAAAGCTTTGTATTGTTAATGTGTTTTTGTTATAAAATTCATTCCAAGTTAGCAAAGAAATGTACTTTTAATGTGTTTTTATCATAAAATTCATATCGAGTTATTTAACAAATTGGAGTTAATAAAAACGAGCAATAATGATGGGAAACATAAATCCAACCCAATCAAATCAACTCATTCATTGAATCAAATCAAACTGAAGCAATTCAAGTACGTAATGAAATAATCGGGAGAATGAAAAAAAAACTGAATTTGTATGCGAGCGTATAGAAATAGATACAGGTATACAAATAAATGTGTATCTATAGCTATAATGTGTGTCACTGCAAGTGAGTGTGTGTGTATGTTGCGTGTGTGTGTGCGTGTGTATGTGTACGTGTGTGTGTGTGCGTGTGTGTGTGTGCGTGTGTATGTGTACGTGTGTGTGTGTGTGTGCGTGTGTGTGTGTGTGTGTGCGTGTGTATGTGTGTGATTAATTTAAATGCGCATGCACAGAATGAAATAGATTTAATCGAAGCCAAGGAAGAACAGCCGAACCCAAGAGAGGTGACTTATAGTAAGCACCGTCGTTAACTTGTAGGTAATTGCTGTAGCATTTCATCGTAGTGGGAATATCGTAGGAGAGGATGGTCAGAGTTATGACCTCCCACGGATGGCCAGTGATTCTCCACACACAGTAAGACGATCGGTAGTGTCCGTGGGTGTCTGGGAGTGGAGTTAGGGTGTACTGCGGTGTGCTGAAGGTCCCCTTTGGCTCCATCAGAGTTTTGCCGCATTCTGTCACGTGTGTGTGTGTGTGTGTGTGTTTGTTTGTTTGCGTGCTTTTGTAGGTTTGTTTTGGAAATCGATAATTTCGTTAATACTTTTTGAGGGTTTTTTTTTTGGAAAGAATTTATTTATATTTTTAAGTTGGGGAATTTTATTTGATAACTTTTGGCTTAATGTTTGTTTACATGTTTTAAAAATTTTGATATTTTCAATTGCCGAATTTGTGGCTGGATTTGTCGGAGTCTTAATAAGTTTGACTTAATCAGTTGGCAATGGACGAAGATTCAACAATTTAAATAGCCCTTTTAATAAATGAAATGGGTAATTAACATAAGAAACCTAAAATAAAAATGAAAAAGACGAAAGGTAAAAAATTGAAAATGAGAAAATATCAACTTAGCGAAGGTTAAGAAATGAAATAGAAAAAAATCTAACGCGGGCACTTGTACAACTTGTTGGTCTGCGAGATATCGCCCTTACTGAGGTACGACCTTTGACCCATGTCGTGGTTGTTGACCGTGTTGGACCTCGGAATGATGGAGTCGAAGAAGGGTCGGACTGAAAATGTGCTCCTGGCATAGTGCATGATGCTCTGGAAGTCGTAGGGCTCGTTGAGGGAGTCAACCTCTCCAGGTCTGGCCGTGTAGAAGTTGTTTTTCTGATCTGGTGACATTTTTTTTTGTCAGACTTTTGTCGATATAGTTTTTGATTTCTAAAAAATTTTTTTGAACAGTGTTTTTCTGATAGCTGTGGTGAATTTAAAAATACTCTTACATAAATTTATCACAAGAAAAGTATGAAACAATTTACCTAAGACTAATTGAAAAGACAGAACTGATTATTATTAATATTAATATTAAAATGACAATCAAGTGATGAAAATTTGTCACAAGATAGGTGCATTTTTATGAAAATTTAATAGGTACATTCATATTGAGGAAAACCCGCATATATATATATATGTGAAAATTTATCTTTCAACGTTTCGAACGTATTGAAAACAAAGTATTTTTTTGTCTAAGAGAACTTTTTGGGACCCTTTTTATTACATTTTTTTTTATCATCTTCAAATCTTTGCTTAGAGAAACTTTCAACTTTGTTGTTTACGAAAGAGAGAGAGAGAAAAAGAGAAAGTGAAAAAGTTTTTTTGAAGATGTCGTCGTTAATTTATCTCGCTGCTTGGATGAGTAAATCATCCACTAAGTTATAATTTTTAAGGAGTTTGGATGTGTTGTCTCCGAGTGTACGTTTTGAGTTATTTTAAATTTACCGAGCTTAATATTTTTAATTTGAAATATTATAAATATACTTCCTACACTTCCAACCAACCAACCAATCGACTAACCGACTGACAAACCAACCAACCAACCGACCGACCGGCCATCCAACCAACCAACCAGCCAACCAACCTGCCAGCCAGCCAGCCAGCCAGCCAGCCAACCAACCAACCAACCAACCAACCAACCAACCAACCATCCAACCAACCAACCAACCAACCAACCAACCAACCAGCCAACCAACCAACCAACCAACCAACCAGCCAGCCAACCAACCAACCAACCAACCAGCCAACCAATCAACCAACCAACCAACCGTGCAGTATATTATCATAGAGAATCTCGACATAGGAATCCCGATCTGGTCTGGTGTGTTCGTGGAAAAACCCGATGACGTGTCCCAACTCGTGCAGGATTATTCCGTGTTGGTCGCAGTGCTTGCCTATTGAGATTATCTGAGCGCCGAATTTTTTGCCCACAAATGAACAACAACTGTTGGATTGGGATAAAAATGAGGAAATGATGAAGAAGAAGAAGATGATGTTGATGAATTTGAAGATGATGGTGATGATGAATTTGAAGAAGGTTGCAGGTTGCATGTTGCATGTTGCAGGCAGCATGTTGCGCAACTTACCCGCAGGGACTCTGGCTGAAGAGGATGTAATTCTTATGATCGTTGGTCTTCTCGACGAATGAGACGCAGGTGTTGTTCTCCCACGCCCTCATTGCCCCAAATATCATCGACCTTGGAGCACCTAGATGGACAAAAATTAAGTTTCAGAATTATTTTAAAAAGTAAAAATATGCATGTTATGGAAGGGGATCTGTTTGCAGGCGAACCTCGTCACTGCGACAGACAGTCTGACCAGGCACCTAAACCATTACGCCATCTCGCTCCTCATATTTGACAATTAGACACACAAAAATCATACATCGTCACCGACGTTCTCAAAAATCTGATAAGAGAAATAGAAAGTAATTCCTGAAAAACGTAAAAAGAAATTAGTGAGAACCTGTGAAGTTAGTGTCGAACTCGAAGGGAATGATGCCATCGTCCCAGAGCAAATGAGGCCGACTGATTGCTGCTCTTTTCTCCCTGCGATGGCTTGCATTTGGAGATTTTATTTATTTTTTTTATTATCATTCTTTAAATAACAAAAAAAATGATTAATAATAGTGTTTAAAATTAAATAATAATTTAATTTTATAAATTATTATTATTTTTTTTTTATATAAACTTGAAACCAGAATAAAATTTTTTCTCTTGTTCTCATATGCAACCTCAATGAGTTTGTACTTGCACATAACTACTAAAAATCTTCATCTGTCTTTTGTCAAACTTGAAATATACAAAAAACTCTATCAGCCATGCATTTGTATCAATGTTTGTATCTGTATTAGTATCTGTATTAGTATTTGTTACAGTGTTTGTATTAGTATAAATCTCCAAGTTTGGGAAGGACTGTATTTGAACCGGGTGAATATGCAATACAAAAAAATGCATGACACTATAGCACTACCGTCTGAGCTATCTTGAATACAAATACTAATACTAATACAAATACTAATACAAATACAAAAACATATACTAATACAAATACTAATACAAATACAAAAACATATACTAATACAAATACTAATACAAATACACATACTAATAAAAATACACATCCTACTAATACTAATACAAATATTAATATAATTACATATACAAATACATATACTAATACAAATACAAATACTGACTGATACAAATAATAATACAAATACTGACTGATACAAATAATAATACAAATACAAATACTGACTGATACAAATAATAATACAAATACTGACTGATACAAATAATAATACTAATACAAATACTGACTGATACAAATAATAATACTAATACAAATACTGACTGAAACAAATAATAATACTAATACAAATACTGACTGAAACAAATAATAATACTAATACAAATACTGACTGATACAAATAATAATACAAATACTGACTGATACAAATAATAATACTAATACAAATACTGACTGATACAAATAATAATACAAATACTGACTGATACAAATAATAATACTAATACAAATACTGACTGAAACAAATAATAATACTAATACAAATACTGACTGATACAAATAATAATACTAATACAAATACTGACTGATACAAATAATAATACTAATACAAATACTATTATTAATACATACTCGGACGGATTAAAACAAAATGATAACACACATAGAAGTATTACATATGCCAGAACGCACTCTGACAAGCATAGAAACACTAAAATACACATTAAGTAAAAAGTTTCATGTAGCTGGAAATATTTTCCAAATCGAATGAAATTTAAAATCACTTTGAATCACTGTTGAAGTTGAACTTTCGCCTGTGGGATCTTTTGAAGTGATTTCTATAATAACGAAGGTCTTCCTCTGTCAGAGCTATGTCACCCTGGAAGGCAGCTGTGTGTGTGTGTATGTTTGTGTGTGTGTGTGTATGTGTGTGTGTCTGTTTGTGTTTGTATATGTGTGTGTGTGTCTGTCTTTGTGTGTATGTGTGTGTCAGTTTGTGTGTATGTGTACATGTGCGTGTATGTGTGTGTGTGTGTCTGTGTGTGTGTGTGTGTGTTTATGTAGGTGTGATGGTTTTATATTTGGATTATTTAAAAATTTAAAATAAAAATAATTTAAATAATTAAGATTAATATGAACTCAAAAATGAATCTGTTCAATTTAGAAAAAAAAGCCTTTCTAACATAAGACTGCACGATAACAAAAAATAAAAAACCAGCTTCTTTAAAATGCCCCTGGCGTTGTTTAAAAAAAAGACGGTACATAAATCACAATAAAATATGCGCTCACCAAAGATAATAAAAAAATATTGAAAAACAAGAACCATAAAATTATAATAATAATTGATATAATAGCATCAAAAATCAAAACGTGGCGTGTTTAACAAATACAGGATATGATGTCTCTAAGGGCTGTCCACCAAGGATATCCCGTTTTGAGGGGGGGTAAAGGGTCTGAAAATTTATAACACTTGTGACGGGGGTGAGGGTGTAAAAACCCATGTGACGTCTCGTTTTAACTTGGCACTTTTTCAACTACTATCATTAGTTAATCAAATTGTTGAGATAATTTTATAGAAAAAAAAATCCTCCCTGATGCAGTATCCCATTTTATTCGTCAAGGTTCGACGCTATTTGATGCAGACCTAGTCGATTTTGAATCCATTATTCGTGATATTTTGCAAAAAAAAAAATTCTAAATCAGAGCAACTAAATGGAAACTTTCAAGTAGGAAGTGGGGTGGGGTCTAAAATTTGGGACACGCTTCTCGTGGGGTTGGCGAAAGTTTGGAATAAGAGGGAGCGGAATCGAAAAATTTCTTTTTAGGACGGTCCTACTTTAGAAAGATTAAATTGAAAAGATAAAAAAATCATTGCCAATAATAATTATTAATAATAATTATTACAGCTACTGCGAGTACTCTCTAATAAGCAAATATGTCATAATTACTAACGAACAGCAAAAAAAACATTTAAAAGAAATCGTTTGAAATTTGCACTACCTACATTTCAGAACATTTCATCTTCACAAGCACTAAATACCGTACTTAACTCCCAAT